CCCATTGAGTATTTGTTTTGATGTTGTCATGTTGGGGTCGAAAGACAGTTCGCCCCTCTTCAAAGAAAGAGGGACTTCCAGGGTTCTTTTCCGTGTATATATATATGGAGAGAGAGAGAGAGAGAGAGAGAGAGAGAGAGAAACAAAAAAAACGTCCTCTTTATATCCTTTTACAAGCCGGGGGGGACCCCCCCCCAAAAAAAAAACGGGCCCCCAGGATCCGGGGATTCCAGGCCCCCCGGATACCCTTGCCAAAGGTCCCCCCAGCTCGTCCTGGACCATCCAGGGGGGTTGGCCAGGTCTAGTCAGCAGACGCCAGGCGATCAGAGCGGTGATCAGAGAGGCCGAAGGGAGACCCAAGACAGCACAAGAGCGCTCTAAGAAGAGGACCCAGATGGCCTCCAGAGGCCCCCGAAGACGGCCCAAGAGGTCTTGAATTGGACTCCCAGAACGCAAAAATCGCTTCATTCCCTTAGGGAACCGTGCATTTTCAGAATATTCGCTGTTCGGGTCTTAGCAGTGTCCAAAACAGCCACAATGGCCTCCGGTGTCGCCCCAAGACGGCCCAAGAGACCCCCAAGAAAGCCTCGAGACGGCCTGGATGACCCAAACCCCCACATGGGCCAGTAAGAAACCCAACAGGCCCTCCCAAGGCCCCCAAGAGAATCCCAAGAAAGCCATGGGAGACCCCCGAAAAGGCCATGGAAGGCCACCTGGAGGGCCCACGTAGCTCCCGGAAGGTCCCTAGAGGGCCCAAGCTCCCCAACGCGGCCCAAGATGGCCCCAGGACGGCTCGAGAGAGCCCCAAGCTGGCCCAGGGCGTTTTCCACCAAACTGACCCGAGTCCCGGGTTCGCAACCACGTTTCCCGGAAATGTGTTGCGAACTGGGGATTCGGTACACTAACCAAGAATTGCTTACCTTCGCGTGCCCCGTTGCGACCCGATACAACATGACATGTTCGGCTTGGCATTGCTTTGTATTTTGCGGTGTTGCTTGACATGGCGTCGGTTTGCTTGGCATTCATTCGCGTGGCATTGCGCACCAGGGCACATGAGCCACGAGCGGGCCAATGTGCGGGCTTACGCAGGCCTTTCGTCGTCATTCACTGCCAGACATTTCTGCAAACGTGCACGCACGCATGAAGCCGTAGACGCTGGCTTCTGGACAGCCCTCCTCGGTGCGGCGCAACCGAAATTCTTCGCCGTCCTCCGACGGCACCATCTCTTTCCCTCCTCCTGCTCCTCCTCTGGGTCCTCCTCCTGCTCCTTCTCCTCCTCCTCCTCCCCCCCCCTCCTCCTCCTCCTCCTGTTTCTGCCGCTCCATCACTCGTCATCCCCCACATCCGCCTCCCTCTCTTCGCTCCCTGAGGTTCCCTCCCTTCTTTCCTTCGCCCTCCCCCTCGCGCCTTTCGGAAGCCCCTGGAGGCCCGGGAAGGGGTACGGACCGCCCGAATTTTTAAAGACTTCCAGAAATCACCGCAGGGAAGGGGCCAAATTTCCAAGGCCACCAGGAACGGCGCGAACGACCAACATGAGCAAAGCCTCAAGGACCAAGGAGCATGGCGCGAAGCGTCAATGCATACATATATATATATATATATATATATATATATATGACGGCCTCAGGGAGGCCCAAGAGGGCCCCGTTCGAAATCATGTTCCCGGAAGCCTCTCCGGGAACATGGTTTCCGGGCTCCCAGCGCTCCCTACTGGGCGCCAGGACAGCTTCAGCGAGGCCCCAGAGGGCCCGAGATGGGTTGAAGATGGCCGAAGAGGGCCTCAAGAAGCACAAATCGGCAATTTTGTTGTAAAACGTGCGTTTTCAGCATACTCGCTGGCTTCGTCTTCACAGTGCCCCAGACGCCCCCGCGGAGCCCCAAGACAGCCCAAGAGAGACCCAAGAGGGCCCCAGACGGTCCAAAAGGGTCGGCTTGCGGGGCTCACCGAACCCCCCGAGACGGCCCAAGAGGCCCCGAAGCCGGCCCAGGAGGCCCCCAAGACGGCCTCAGGGAGGCCCAAGAGGGCCCCGTTCGAAATCATGTTCCCGGAAGTTTCTCCGGGAACATGATTTCCGGGTTCCGAGGACGCCCTAGAGGGCCCCAGGACAGCCTCAGCGAGGCCCAAGAGGGCCCGAGATGGCTTCAAGATGGCCGAAGAGGGCCCCAAGAAGGCCTTCAAGAGGCAAACATCAGCCCGTCCCCGTGGCAAAACCGCGAGACAACTGGCGACCGCAGCTGCCGTCCCTTCGTGCTGGGCGCGTGCGAACATGGCGTTCAGTTTGAACGGAACGTGTCGGGTCTGTTGCCAATCGAGCGATAGGCCACCCTCAAGGTCAAGGTGGGGCATGGGTCGTCGCAACACGACGACGACGACGACGACGACGACGACGACGACGACGACGATGACGACGACGACGACGACGACGACGACGACGACGACGACGACGACGACGACGGCACGCCCCAACAGGCTCCCCAAGACGCCCCAAACCCATGCTCCCAGAAGGCCTTCTGGGAACCCGATTCATACCGCCTCCGCCCCCCTACACAACCATTTTCCTCGAAGGCCTTTCGGAATGCAGATTTGTATGCGTGGACTCTGGTCCACTACTTCAGTGAAGCAGTGAATTCGTCAAGGCCTGGGGCCTGCTAGAACCATCGCGCGCGCGAAGCGCGCTTGATGGTTTTAGTATACATACATACATACATATATCTGTATATATATGTAGAGAGAGAGAGAGAGACAGAAAGAGAGAGAGAGAGAGAGAAAGAGCTAGATGGACATCCCCCCAGCACCCCATGTAGCCCTATCCCTGCGCTCACTCTTTTTCTCGCTTTCTCCCCGATCATCCTCTTTCTCCTCCTGCTCAGCTTCCTCCTCCGTTGTCTTTCCTCCTCCTCCGCAGCAGCAGCAGCCTTCTCGTCCTCCTCCTCCTCCTCCTCCTCCTCCTCCTCCTCATTCTCCCCCTCCGCCAAAGAAGTTTGTGGGAGGAGGGCTACCACGAAACCATGCTATTCATATGTTTTCCTGTTTCATGTTCGGTCGGTGATGCCACCAAACGCTGCTATTCACAGGTGTTGTTGTGTTGTTTCTTGTCCGTTGCTTGGTGTACAAAGCATCTGAAACTGTGCCGGGAGTCTTGCGGACGCCGAAAAACGAAAACGAAAATTGTGAATAGCAGTGTTTGGTGGCCTTGTGGCCACGAAACCATGGTATTCACATTTTTCAATGAAAGCCAACAAAAAATGAATAGCCGTGTTTGATGGCATTGTGGCAGCGAAACCATGTGATTCATATGTTTTTTTGGTTTTGTTGGTCGACGATGCCACCAAGCACTGCTATTATCTGTCTTGTGTTTTCTGGTTTCAAGAGGTCCAGTATATTTTCCTAGCGAGGCAGTCTTCGGAATCTCCGAAAACCAAAACAACTTGTTAATAACAATTTTTGGTGGCATTACCGACCGAATAAAAACGGAAACTATTGTGAATACCATGGTATCGTGGCCATGTTGTTGTTATTGTTGCCGTTGCTCCTCTTACTCCTCCTCCTTCTCCTCCTCCTCCTCCTGCTCCTGCTCCTTCTCCTTCTCCTCCTCCTCTCTTTGTCCTCCTTCTCCTCCGCCCCTCCTCCTCCTCCTCTTCCTCCTCCTCTTCCTCTTCTGCTTCCTCCTCTCGTGCTCCTCCTCTTCCTCCTCCTCCGCCTGGTCCCCCCCTTCTCTTCCTCACCTTCCTCCTCCTCCTTTTCCTCCTTCTCCTCCTCCTCCTCGTCATACTCCTCCTCATCATCATCCTCGTCCTCCTCCCACTCCTCCCCCTCCTCCTCCTCCACCTCCCTTCCTCCTCCTTATCCTCCTCCTCCTCATCCTCCTCCTCCTCCTCATCCTCTACCTCATCCTTCTCCTCCGCACCTTCTTCCTCTGCCTCCTCCTACGCACCGTCTTCCTCCTCCCGTGCTCCTCCTTTTCCTCTTTCTCCTCCTCTTCCGCCTGCCCCCCTTCTCTTCCTCACCTTCCTCCTCCTCCTCCTTCTCCTCCTCCTCCTCCGCCCCCTCCGCCTCCTCCTCCCTCTCCTTCCTCCTCCCCCCTCCTCCCCCTGATCTACCTATGAAGCAACCGTTAGCATACGGTTTTGTTCTTGACGGCCGAAGGCGCAACCTACGGCACGACCAGGAGGGTGAGGAGGAGGAGGAGGAGGAGGAGAATGAGGACGAGGAAGAGGAGAGAAAGCAGGGTGAGGGGTTAATTAGGAGGAGGAGGAGGAGGACGAGGACGACGAGGAAAAGGAGATGAAGCAGGGTGAGGGGCAGGAGGAGGAAGAGAAGGGCGAGGCGGGATGCCTGGGCGGTGGGGAGGCTGAACTATGTTTGGTGTGGACGCTGAGGCGGAGAGACAGGAAGATGAGGATGAGGAGATGAAGGGCGAACGAATGAAAGGGGAGGGAGAAGGAGTGGTAGGAGGAGGAGGTGGAGGAGGAGGAGGAGGGTCATCGGAGTGATCGCTCGCTGGAGGATGGGGTGCTGGGGGGGGGGGGGCTGAGCATATAGATATATGCCGGGGGGGCATAGCCTTGGAGGTGAGACCCATTGCACGACGGGAAACGCAAACCGATATTTTTGGGGGAAGGAAGGTGCCCCCCATCGCCGACTAGCTGTTGGTCTGGCTTACTTCTGCAACCCCAAGCCAGGGCCTCAAGAGAGGTCTAAGACGGCCCCAGAGGAGGTCAAAAGGCGACCCAGACGGCTCGAGATGATTTCATGAGGTTGCTCAAATAACCTACGAGGTTCGAAAACAAATTCGAGGCCGCCCAGGTCAGGCCCACGATGTTCATAAATGGCTCCGAGTGGCAGCAATGGAAGCCCCACGCAGTCCAAACCATCAACATCTCAACAGCAGATTCTTAGTTCATTCGGGCTTTCAGCTGCTCATGGTTCCAAGGGGGCGTCAGGGTGCTTCTAAGACGGCCCAGCATGGCCACAATGACCGCTGAGGTATCCGGGTTGGGCCGCAAGAGGCACCCAAAACGTCCCGACTGAATCATTGGAGGAGCCAAAAGACAGCCCCAGAGAATCTGAACACTGCCCCGCAGCAACGTTTAGCTCAAGCAACTTCGGCTCAGAGGGTATCGTTGTCCGCCCCGCTCTCGCAATGCGGCAGCCCACGTGGCGGGAGACAGGCGGCTGGCGCGAGCTCGTGGGCGGCAGGCCTGCAGCGGCGTCGTTGCTGCCGCTTTGGCTGCTTGCCCAGCTGGCGCGTCCAACTCCCGCGCCGGAGGACTCGACCGTGACGGCGCTCGGCGACGGTTGGCCGGTCGGGGGCGCGGACGAGAGCTGCGACTGGCCGATGTGCACCAAGCACCGCGTGCCGTGCGAGACGAAGATGGTGGGCAGGTGTGTCGGGATGCCGTGCCTCACCAAGGGCGCGGAGTGCCGCGTGGGGCGGTGCTTCTGCAAGCAGGACTACTGCGGAGCGCCGTACTTGCCACACATGGGGCGCTGCGTGCCGCAGGCAGTCTGCAAGGGGGCCGCGCCCCCGGATTTTGAAAGGGGCGCCTGGCTCAGGGTGTTCTCTGCGATGGGCAGCCCAGACGAGTTCCCGAGACTCTGGGAGATGCCGGACCGTTGGCACTGGCTTCCTCTCTCGCCTCGCTGCTGGCCAGCGAACGTGCTGTTCGTCCTCGGCCTGGCAGTTGCACACCTCACCGGGGTCGCCCTGTGCAACAGGTTCGTCGATTGCACCTGGTGTACGAGAAGGAGCCCCGACGAAGCCTGGGTTTTCTGCGCCTGTCAGAGAAGGAGCGGCACGCCACCTGCCGAGCAGTGGTCTCGAGGCGTGCCCGGGTGCATCCTGCCGGCTGGGGCAGCAGTCATGGTGATAGTGCTCTGCGCCGCCGGACAGGCGGATCGCGTCTTGCACTACAGGACGGGCGCCCTCATTCTGGGGACGCAGGCGGCACACTTGAGCAACGACACCGCGGACCTTCTCAACCGAACGCGCCAGCTCAACTGGACGGCTTCCAATTTGAGCGTCGTAGTCCAAGACGTCCGGAATTGCAAAAGGAACCCGACGATGTCTCGCGTCGGCCGTAGGTTCGTCAATTCCACAGTGTCTCTCGCACATAACATTCACGTGTTTGACCAGATCGTCCGCGATATCAACGATGAGGCGAAGAAGTTCCGCAACAGGCTGGAGAAGCAACGGGCTGTGTGGGTTTATTGGACTTGTTTCATACTTTTGCTAAGTTGCGTCCTCTCCTTAGCTATGCTTACAGAGGTTGTCAGCGCCAGGTATTCGCTTTGTTTGTGCCGGCGTGCAGAACGATCGTCTGCTATATGCGCGTTCGTCCTCGTATTTACCATCGGCGTAGTCGCGACAGCAACCTCTTGCTTATTATCTGCTGTCATTGGGGTCTCCCAGATGTGCCACGACATCGATACAAATGTCATTCGAGGCGCAGAGGTGTTATCCGCTGGGCGCGAGGACGAGGGCATCATAACCAACATCACAAGGTTTTATGTGCGGGGTGACATATTCAACCCCCTCGACCACTATGTAGACATGATAGAGATCTACATCGACGCGGTTCTCGAACTCTACAAGGAATTCCAGAGCTCTATTATCATTCCTCATGGGTACACATGTCCCGCTCTTCTTGATTTGAATGTCCCAGGGATTCATAGCGTCGTGAGGTCTGTCATTGGGACCGCCAGAAAAGTACTGAACACTACTAACGTCTACCCGTATTATGAGGAGACCGTCCGTGGCTATCTTTGCAACCATGTGCCATCCGCAGTGGGCACGTTTCTGATATTGCAGGTGCTCGTCGGCCTTGTCTTTCTCCCTCTGGCGGCTGTGGCTAACCACCAGTACGTGTCGAGGAAGAGTGTGCTGAATAGTGAAGGGGCAACGAGCGACTCGGACGAGTACGGCCTGGAGGATTCGGAGACAAGTTCGACCGCCATTGCCAGGGTGACCTAAGCATCTTGCAACGCCACAGAGGTGCCGGGCTTCCAGATGCCGTCCATGTTGACAGAAGCGGTCTCGACGTTTCAGTTCGTGCACATTGTTCTCAGAACAGCCTGCTCTGCACGCGTAGACCAGGGTCCTGTCTTGTGGCAACTGGCCAGAGGTGCTCAGAGGCAGCTTGCTGGAGGCTGTATGCTCGCGACCTGTTTTTGACCCGCGTATGTTGCCGAAGCAGGGAGCAGACCCATTGCGGTCGGAAGGGGCCCGCGCTCGCCTTCTTCGAAGCGGAGCAAGTTTCCAGCAGCGTCCGAGAAGTTTCTCCAGTTGTTTCAGCAAGCCCCGTGCGCACCTCCCAGTGCGCACCCACGCGGCTGCACACGCGAGCCTGTATCGCTGTGCTTCCACAGCGGGACCCCGTCCCCTGTAGCTCAACTTGTAGCTCCGTTGGCACAGAGCGCCCCAGCTTGAGCTCTGCTTCAGGTCGGCAGTGAAGCCTGGCCGCCGTCGCGTGCTTGAGTTCCTCTCCCGAGCGCGCAGCTGCCGCTGGCGGCTGTTCTCGGCAGGCAGTTGTGCCGCTGGTCGGAGGAGGGCCAGCAGAGACAACGGCGGCCCTTCCAGCCTGGCCCAAATCCAATGGAAATTGCCTCGGACCGCTCTCGGGTTCTAGCCTGACCCCTTTTTCGAGGCAGAGGAGGAGGAGTAGGAGGAGGAGGAGGAGGAGGAGGAGGAGGACTCCCACAAGGGGAGCCCGACCATAGCGCGAAAAAAAACGCCCGCAAAGGATGCCGTTGAGTCGACGTGCCCTCCCTACGAGGCCCCTCGGCCTCTCCAGCGGAAGAAAGGACGAGAGGGCCAAACCGGCCCCAAGAGAGTCGGGGGGGGGGGGCCGGGGCATCCCAAGACGCGCCCACAGCGTCCAAGAGAGAGCCCGACGATGCCCCGAGACAGTCGAGAGGGCTCCCAGGCCGCCCCGAGGAGGCTCCCGGAGCACCCCCTGTAGGCCCCGCCACTCGTGTAACTCCCTGATTTCCTCCACAGCAGATTGCTGAATCATTTTGCGTTGATCGCCGTTTCTTGAAGGGCGTCCGCGACGCCCCAAGAGCCCTCCAAGATCGCGGCCCATGAGGGCCCCCCAGGGCCTCCAGCAAAACCAAGATAGCCCCAAGCGGCCCCCAAACGGCCCCAAGAGAGTCGCGGGGCGGCGTCTGCATCTCCAAGAGGGGATGGAGGGGAAGCAAGGGACGGAGGTGGAGGGGAATTGCGGGTGGCCTGCCTCCATGGCCGAGGGCCAAGGCGCAGGCCACCCGCAAGTCGGGCAGCCCGTGCTTTGGCCCCTGGCCAGTGAGAGGACACGCCCGCAGGCGGCAACTGGTATAAGCCGTAGGCGGTGTTTAGGCCCCCCGTCCGCGTGGCCCGGCGGCGGGGGGGCGCCGCGGCAACAGGTGCCGTGGCTGCCTCAAGCGCGCTAAAGAGGGAAGGGGGAGGAGGAGGAGGAGGAGGAGGAGGAGGAGGAGGAGGAGGAGGAGGAGGAGGAGGAGGAGGAGGAGGAGGAGGAGGAGGAGAGAGCAGGATGGGGAGAGGAGGAGGGGAGGAGCGAGCAGGAGGAGAGGGACGGAGGAGGGGAGAGGAGGGGAAGGAGGAGGAGGAGGAGCGCGAGGAGGAGCAGGAGGAGAGAGCAGGAGGGGGAGCACTGGCCTGCGGCCTGCGGAGGGCACCGACCCGCGGCGGGGCTCCGCCCCTGCGGCCTGCGGCCTGCGCCCGCGCGGCCAGGTGGCCGCCGCCGAGGCGCGGCGCTCCGAGGCGGCCAGCTCGGCCGCCGCCGCGCTGCAGGACGCGGCCAGCGCGAGGCAGGCCGCGGAGGCCGGCGCGGAGGAGGCCAGGGCCGCCGCGTCGCGGGCGGCCGCGGCCGAGGCCTCGGCGAGCAGCGGCGGCGAGCAGCGGCGGCGCCGGCCGTGGCGACGGCTTCCAGCGGCGAGCGACGGAGGCGCGGCGGCGACGGCACCACCGCAGTGGCGGCGGCGCCGACGGCAGCGACGGCAGCGACGCCGACGGCGACGGCGACGGCGGCGGCGCCGCGGCGAGTGCGGCGGCGACGACGGCGGCGACGGCCGAGCGCCTCTGGGAGCGGCAGGCGGAGGTCCAGCGCCTCCGCGATACCGAGCTCCCCGGCCTCCGGGAGCAGGCCGACGCCGCAGCGGCCAGCGCGGACAGCCACAAGCAGCTGATCCGCGCGCTGCAGCAGCGCATCGCCGAGCAGGAGCGCCAGGCGGAGCGGGACGCGGCGGAGCTGCGGAGGAGGCTCGCGCTGGCACAGGAGGCGCGGCCGCCCCGAAGCCAGGCCTCGGGCAGCGACCTGGAAGGCGACGCGCACGGGGAGGAGGCAGTGGGTCGGGCGACGTGATCTGCACATGCGCACCACCCCTGGCCGGGTCCATCCAGGGCCCTGCAGGATCGGTGCATAACGCCTCCCTGGCCAAGCGAGGAGGGCGAGTGCTCCGATCCTGGGCCCAGAAGGGTGGCCATGGGCCTCGTGCACGTGCGGACCTCGTCGCCGCAGAGGGCGGGGAGACGGAGGCCGAGGGCCCCGACGAGGAGGCCGACGGCGCCGACGCGGCGGAGAGAGGAGAGGGCACGCTCGCTGGTGGGAGCAGCCCCGGTGCCGCGAGCCCGCTGCCCGCGGTCCTCGGGCAGTGCTCGAGCGCACCGGCGGCGGCCGCCAGCGTGCAGGAGGCCGCCGCCCTGAGAGAGCGCAACGACCTCCTCGAGAGGCGGGTGCGCACGCTGCAGAAGAAGCTCGGCGCGCGGCCGATCATGTCGCAGGCTCGACTGCACTTGCGAGCAACTCCTCGCCAGGGTGAGCCTCGGTGAGGTCCCGCTTGGGCCGCCCGATCGCTGGCTGCGATGCGACGGCAGCGGGCTCCGCGCCTGAGTTTGGCCCCCTCGCGCCCCCGCCCCCGGGATCCGCGCACCAAACGTTGCTCTTGCCTGGGGTCACCCCTGCGTGCGCAGTAGAGGCCCATGCCAAGAAACACCCTGCTTGCCTCCAGGGTGCCCTGGGCTTCCCGGGTCTCGACGGGTTTGCGATGGGCAGCGTGACGCTCCCACACCAAAAGTCAAGGGACGCCCCGGGGCCTCAGGGTCGGGCTTCCTGTGGACTGGCCTCCCCTGCAGCCGACAGGCGCCCGGGCGGGGCCCTCTGAACCTCGGCGCCCTCGACGGCGGCGACCCGCCCTGGGCCGCGTGGCTCCGGCAGCGGGCGCCCCCCGTGGCGGGGGCCGCCGCCGTCTGGGCCGGCCGGCTGCTGGAGAGGCGGCTCCGCAGCTTCACGCAGCGGCTGCTCGAGCGCGACGCGCTGCTGTGGGTGCTCTGCACGCCCGAGATGGGTACAGAAAGAATGGGTACAATGCCCAACAGCAGTTCCTGTTCATTCTGAACAGGACTCGCTGTCCACGCCGCCGCGGCCTGTGTTCAGTTGAGACAGAAGGCCGCCTGCCCAACCGCGGCCGCTATTGGCTCGGAACAACATTTGCTGTTGGGCACTGTGCCCATTCTTTCCGCACCCATTTCGGGCGGCCAAAGGTGTTCTACGCGCACCTCCTCGTGCTGTACGCGCTGGTGGGGTGCTTCCTCGCCGCGAGCAGCCCCCAGTCCCAGTCGCCGGCGGCGTGCGTGGAGGCCCGCCTGGAGCAGCTGCAGCAGCGCTGAGGGGGGCGCCGGCCGTCGGGGGCTCCCGCCTCCTCCGCCCTCTGCCTCCACCTCCTCCCCCCCCCCCCCCTTCCCCCCCAAGGGGGGTGGGGGGTGGGGTGTGACTGCCTCCTCCCCCCCCTCCTTGAGCACGAGGGTCGGGTCGGGCGAAAGGGGGGGATTGGGAAAGGGGGGGGTACGAAATTTGCTGCATGCAGCTGGTTTCGGCCTCACCGAGGGGCCCATTCCTCGATGCATGGCCGCCTCCGGCGCCGGGAGGCGCCGGGAAAATCAGCTACGTGAGCTGATTCTCAAACCCCCCCTTTGCTATCCCCCCTTTCGCCCGACCCGAGAGGGAGGAGGCACTTGCCGACGGGCGTGTTCGAGCGCGGCGGTCGAGCACGCCGTGAAGCTGGCTTGCTTGTGGAGGGGCTCGCCCGCCGTCGCTCTTAGCCAGGCATCCTTGAAGGGGCCCTGGGACACACAAGTACATACACACGAATAAAATGATCCCCCATGTTTTCCCATATTTTCGGGGTTGTTGTCTTCCCCCCCACTTCCCATATGTTCCCATATTTTCCTGGGGATCGACGATTAATTGTGTCTGTGTGTTTCGTTTCCCTCCTAAATCCTGTCGATCGGCCTGCGGGATGTTTCGTTCTGCCCCTCGCTCCCGCACGCACGAGGCGTCGGGCACCCGGTTGCTTCGGGCCCCTCCTCCCGGGTATGCCATCCCAGTCAGACACTGCTCGCCTACGAACCAGTTGCGGCATGGCGCCCCGCGTGCCGAGGTCGGGATGGCTGGGCGACCCTGTCCAGAGGGCCATGCCCGCAAACACGTGTCGGTTGGATGACCCCACGTGTCTGAAATAAGCCACGCTGATTCTCTGGTTGTCTCGGAGAAGTCGTTTTGCGTGTCTCTGATGGTTGATTCCCACCCCAGTCTTGCATTATGCGTCGATGGTTATTCGATTTAAGCTTGTTTCCGAGTGCACGTCCCAGTCTAAGTTCTTTGTGGGCCTTTCTTTCCTAGCACAAGCGGGCCCAATAACCTGGATACTGTGAAGATGTAGTTTGTCCCCTTGATCTTCCTCTTTCCTCTTCCTGCTCCCCCGCCTTTTCTTCCTCCAGCGTGCAGCAAGCCGATCGTGCAGCAAACGATGGGCCTGACATTTCGGGATCGCGGTCCACTGAGCTAGGACACCCCAGTCGGTGGCCAGAGAAGGATCCAGCGCAATGGGAAGGAGCAGTCTGGATGGGTAGGATGTCAGACATAGCTCGAGCGCATCTAGCTTGCCCTTTTCCACTCCCTCCCCCTCTCGCGTGGCCCCGACACCCGTCCATCTCTCTAGGACGGGTGCCCACTGGTCCAGGGGTGCAGCACAGTCAGTCCGAGGGTCTGTCACATCACCGATCGAATTCGACGGAAACCGCCCGCCCGATCGGACTCGGCCTTCGACCCGGGGCCACCCTCGCCCCCCCGCCTCCCTCTCTCCTCAGCATCCTCCCTCCCTCCCTCCCTCCCTCCTCCCTCCCTCCTCCCTCCCTCCTCCCTCGCTTTCTCCCTCCCTCCTACTTACCTCCCTCCTCCCTCACTCATTCCATCCCGCTCCCCTCCTCCATCCATCTGCCTGCCTCTCCTCCCTCCCTCCCTCCTCCCTCCTCGAGCCCGGGACCCCGCTCCCGCTCCCGCTCCGACGCCTGCGCGGTCGCGCTCGCCGCCCCCACTCGGACCAGCGCGGCCGACCGCGGCCCGTCGCGCAGTGAGGGCGACCTCGGCGCGAGAGAGCCTCCGGCCGAGAGGGCGGGAGGGGGGGGGGAAGGGGGGGAGTCGGACGGGGCCAGGACGAAGATAATTCCGTTCCAGAGCGTTCCAGAACGCTGTCAGAGCGCTCCGGACAATCGCCGCGGCCTTCCCTGCCGCAGCGCCCGAGACATCCTCCGGAGCCGCCAGATCTCAGCGATTCTCGATTTATCTTCTCCCGGATGTATCCTCGCCCTGGCTTCGTCCTAGGGAGAGCCACAAAGACAATCATCCAGTTGGGAGGATGGGGGTGGGGAGAACTGATTTTGTCATCCTCGAGCATGCCCTGTATCTTCCCTGCCTCGTCCTCCCAAAACGATTGAAGTGGCTTGCGCCATTCCGCCGACCGCCACAAGAGAAAAGGAGTAACGCACAATCGCAGAAAGGATTCGGAGCAGTTGGGCCTCTGAGGATTTTGGTGGGGAGGGATCCGGGGCATCCGGAAGGCTTCTTGATGGCATCTCGGGGCTTCGGGGGGCTTCTGGGAGGCCTGTCGGAGGCTTCGTTGGCCGCGGATCTAGAGATGTGGCACGCGCTGAGGCGAAAGCGGCATTCTGAACGACGGGAGCAAATCGCCGATCTTGACGAGTAGCATACGCTACAGCAGGAACGCCATGCTTGAAAGGTCCAGGACGTTCTGGTGGGAAACGCTGATATCGTCAGAGAGTTCGCTGCAACAACGTGCGCAAGCAAGCGTGCATGACACACATTAACGACAGAAGAGAGATACATCACCTGGAGAGAGAGAGAGAGTGAGAGAGTGGGAGTAGTATTCCGATTGTAGAACTGCAGAGAGGAGGAGGAGGAGGAGGAGGAGGAGGAGGAGGAGGAGGAGGAGGAGGAGGAGGAGGGAGAGGAGGAGGAGGAGGAGGAGGAGGAGGAGGAGGAGGAGGAGGAGGAGGAGGAGGAGGAGGCTGTGGAGGCTGTGGAGGAGGAGAAGGAGGAGGAGGAGGAGGAGGAGGAGGAGGGGGAGGAGGAGGAGGAGGGGGAGGAGGAGGAGGTGGAGGAGGAGGAGGAGGACCAGTGCAAATCCAAGACGCATCGACGATGTCGCAAGAATCCCTGCCTCAAGTTTCTGCTTCACAGCTCCCTGTAAGAAGTTGCTTTCAGTGTGGGGAATACCCCATGTGAAGACAACCGTCTTATAATCCTCACTCGCACCAAGTCATTTTTTTTGACTCCAGGTCCGCGAATCAACGTGACTGATGTGTCCGAACGATCCTACATCGTGCCAGAATGCCATTCCTGGGACTTCAACACCGCGAATCGGCATGATTGCTGCGCCCTTGCGACCTCAAACCGTGCAAGAGCATCATTCCAGGCATTTCAGCCGTGCGAATCCATGAAGCTGTTGCAAACGTTCAGGACGAATGCGCACGGCGGCGAAAACCACATTTTGAAACGGGGCCGCCCCTGCAAACTGTTAAGGCGAGGCCATTCCTTGAAAACGATCCACACACCATCGCTGAAACTGTTGCAAATTCTTCGAGATGAATGTTCGTGTCGCTAGGGCGATTGTCGCATTTAAAAAACCACTCGCTCTCCATATTTGAAGCTGCGGCGAACAGATAAGACGAATGTGCGCGGCGGTCACGCGGCAGCCACATTTTGAAAACGACCTGCCATTATTCCGTGAAGTTGTTGCAAAAGTCGAGTTTCAGGGTCGTAAACGGTGGGGAAGTCTCAGGCGACACGCCCGGCCCGCCTTGCCGACACGTCTGGGGGCGCGACATGGAGGAGTTATTTCTAAGGACAGTAGGATGAGGAAAGGAGGAGGAGGAGGAGCAGGAGTAGGGGCAGGAGCAGAAGCAGGAGTGACAGTCTCGTCAGCTCCTCCCCCCTCCCATGTCTTGTTCGGTTCATCATCTACGCGGTCTTCCTGCCTCTTCTCCCGCTGCCCCTTGGTTCTGTCGTTCCCTCTCCCCTGAAGGCGGCCAGGGGGAGGTCGACTGCTTCGCTCTAGGAGGAGGCGAGGCCCTGGCTTGGCGGCGGCGGCGGGGCTGGCAGCGGCGGCGGCTGCGGCGGCCTCCAGCTCGGCTCCCAGCGCCGCAGTCGGAGGTATTCTGTCCTACTTGTTTCTATATCATATCGTTGTCTTAATCCCCAGCTGTCTAAGGCCATCTGGTATCACAAGCCCAGGCTCAGCCCCAGGTCGAGTCGCCTCCCACCGTGACCACCTCGGCGGCTGAGGAGGTGCCTCGCAGGACGGGCTGACAGGCGCGGGAGGTTCGCGGCAGGCTTGCCCCGCTTGCGGCTCCGACGCCCCAGGCCGCGGCTGGGGAGCCTTGTCTGGTCCATGGGCACCAGTTGTTGGATGGGGCAGGTCCTCAGCAGGTTTGAGCCGCCCTTCCTGGCGTGCACGGCGTCCTGCATGTACGCCAGGACGCCCAAGATGGTCTGGAGGGGCCTCAGCAGCGGCTGCAGTGGGGCCGAAGCCAGGGCCCGTCAAGGCTCGCATGCCCAGGCCAGGAAGGAACTCGAGCAGAGGATCCTCCCAGGGACGACGAAGCAGCTGATCGGCGAGCTTCAGCCCCCCTCGGCAGCCACGAGGGCGACGTGGGCCGCGAAGCTGAAGGCGGACGCCCAGCAGATGGAGGGCCCTGGCGGGCGGAGGGCCCGCGGCGGCGGCTGGAGCTGGCGAGGCGGCGGGGGCTGCGGCGCCACCTGGCGCGGCGGAGGCGGCCGCCCCGCGGCCGCTCGCGACGCGGGAGAGGCGCTCATCCTCCCGCCGCTGGCCAGCGTGGCGCGCGCCCACGGCTTCGGCAGCCTGGCCGAGGCGCGCGCCAGAGGCCCGGGCCTGGCGGCCCGGGAGGAGCGCGCGGAGGCCGCCCGTTCGCGAGCGGTGGGCCCCAGCCAGCGCGAGGTGCGGAGCTAATCGCGTCCTCGTTGGCTGGGGCGCCGCGCTCGCGCCGCGCGTGCACGGCTGTGGCGCGCCTCTCGGATCCTATGCATGAGGAAGAAATGCCCACCGTATCGGCGCAATCGGGCCAGTGGCTTGGCCGGGTGTTCGGATCGTTTTTTTGTCCAGCCCTGCGGGCGGCAGGTTCTGACGTTGCGCGACGCGGCTGCGCCCCGTGGGCCCGCCCTGTAGAGCAGGACTGTGCCACTCGGAGCGCAGCGAACACCCCGGCCGCAGCGCCTTAGGATCGGAGGGGGGAGAAGCGACACCAACACCACCATGGGGGGGGCCACCTCCAGTGAGGAGGTTCACGATGCTTCGTCGAGCGGCAGGCGGGGGATGCCTCGAGCGAAGGGGGGGGGGGGGGAACCACACCATCTGGGAGAACCCCCCCTGCTCCTCGCATCTCCTCGCCCTGGTGGTGTTGGTGTCGCCTTTCTTTGCTCCTATAGAAGAGTTTCAGATGAAGATCACCCCCCGACCCATCCGACCCCACCCGATTCCCCGATCGGAGGTCGATGCCCCTGCCAGCTGGGATGGCGAGTCGTGATCGGGCTGAGGGTCCATTCTGATGGCGGCATGTCTCGAAGATAATAGCAAGGAAACTCGTCCACACCCGCCTGGGCTTCGTCAGAAAGTTCTTGACGCGTGCCATCCATCCCGTCGTTGGCTGGGCACTCCCAGCACTTTCTGAGTTGACTGGCTGCGCCGGCGTTCTCCCCTCCTCCTCCTCCTCCTCCTCCTCCTCTTCCTCCTCCTCCTCCTCCTCCTCCTCCTCCTCCTCCTCCTCCTCCTCGTCGTGAGCATCAGGAGCATTAGGAGGTGGATTAGTGGGCAGAGGTGGCGGAGGAGAGAAAAAGGAGAAAAGAGGGAGAGGGGGAGGAGGAGAGGGGGACAATGAGGAGTGCTCCCAGCCGTCGCTTCTCTCGAGCTGGCCCGGGCCGGCGCGCACGCGGCGCGGGATGGCGGGGAAGAAGTGCGCCAAGTGCGAGCAGCCGTACTCAGGCTTCGGCGACACCTGCGGCGCCTGCAGGAAGAACAAGGGCGCAGCGCAGGATAGCTTCAAGCCGGACACGGAGAGCTTCGTGTGGGGCCAGACAAGGCAAGGGGGCCCACGCGCCCGAATGTGCCAGCCTTCCTCCCATTTCCCCACAACCTACTCCTCCCCCTCCCAGCCCCCAAGCCTCTTCCTCTCTCATGCTCTGCCTTCTCGTCCAGTCCTCCTCTTTCTCATCCATCTTCATTCTCTAGGCCCGATCGCAGATGCCTGTGCCGAGCATTCGAAGGTGGGGGGGAGGAGGGATGGAGGAGGGTGCGGAGAAGGAGGACCAGGAGGAAGGTGCAGGAGGTTGGAGGAGGCAGGGGAAGAGAGAGGAGAGAGTAGAGGGGCAAGCTAGACGCGCTCGCGCTACACTGACATCCGACCCATCCCATCCATCCCTTCCCATTGCGTTGAATCCTGTTCTATCCGCCGACTGGGGTGTCTTAAAGGCCCTTGATGCCCGAACGGCAGTGGCAGAATTTGGCCCATCGTTCGTTTGCTGTGCATGCGAAAAGGGAGCCTTCTGTAGCCAGGAGAACGAGCAGCAGCAGACGCGGATGAGCAGGAGGCGGAGGAGAGGAGGATCAGGGAGGGAAGAGGAGGGGGAGGATCAGCAGCAGCAAGAGCACGAGAAGGAGGAGCAGCAGGGGGAGAGGGGCGACGATGAAGCGAGAGCAGCAGGGGAAGGCAGCAACAGCAGGAAAAGTATGATCAGCGGATGAGGGGCATGGAGGGGGTGGCAACGACAAAGAAGGAATCGGATCAGAAAATGCGGTCTGCACTCGAGCCAGAGCGCCTTTCTGAACGATGGGGGCAAAGCTCCGCCCCTGAAATGGGGGCAACGCTGCAGCGGAAGCAACACTTTTGAAGGACTGAATTCGTCCCGATCGAACCGACCCAGTCAAAACAACAACTCTTGGAGCTTCGCACATGAACAAGCAATACGCGCAAGAGGCGGCAGCACACGCGCTCACTGTCAGGGGAAAGAGGGGGATGGCCTTCATACTGGGTGACTGTAGGTGCGCTAGCGCCACATCTGAAGTTCCACCCTCCCGCCCTTCCCTTCTCATGAAGCTGAGTTCGTTGAAATTTGCAGATTTGGGTGTCCTAGAAGGTCTTGGTCACAAACTGCAGGCGCAAGACTTGACAGATCGTGTGCTGTATATATCTGGCGAGGGGGGCGCGGATGGCTTTTGAACGTTGGAAAAGAGCAGCCGGAGGGGGGAGGCAGGGAGAGGCGAAGGGGAAGGGAGGGGGTGCCAACGACGAGTAAGGAGCCGGATCAAAAATGTAGCCCGCGTGGGGGCGAGAGCGCCATATCGAAGAGCAGAAATCGTGCACCGACCTTGATGTGTGGCCCATGTTGCAGCGGATACGCCATTTTGAAGGACCGAAGACAGCCCAAGTCAAAACGCAAGATTTACATCTTGAGTGAATTCAATCTGCGGGGGTCCCGCTGCAATGTGTAAGGGGAGGGAGTAGATCACCCAAAAGGTGTAATTGTAGAAAGGAGGGAGGCGAGAGGAGGGAGAAGCAGACGATGGAGGAGGAAGAGGGGGGATGGGGCGAGTGCTGACGGAGGGATGAGGGGGGCGGGAGGTGAGAGGGGAGGCTGGAGGGGTGAGGAGCAGAAGGATGAGCACGAGGATGTTGGGAATGACTGAGAGAGGGGAGACGAAGAGGGGGGAGGGCTTGAGGATGCAGCAAGCACTGCTCGGCGGAAGCCTCCACATAGCCAGGGGAGGAGGAGGAGGAGGAGGAGGAGGAGGAGGAGGAGGAGGAGGAGGAGGAGGACAAGCATCCCCATCGTCCTCACTCCTGTCCCACGTCCAATACGGCTCATGAGGCCTACCTTCGGCAAGCCTGGGGGCCCCAGGCAGACACCTGCGAGGCGGCTCTTGTCAACGTGGCTCTCGAAATGCATCGGCTCAACCCCTGGGTCGAGCCCGTCGCGGACGAGGACGGCCACTCCGTTGACGCGCTCCCCGTTGCCATTGAAGCTGGCTGGCGGGATGTGCGCCAGCCATCCCCTCTGCTGGCGCCACTGGGTCTGCTGGGCAATGATGCCCCCATCGCATAGCCTGCGTTCCTGGGCGATCAGCGTCACATCATTCACCCACTGCGACTCAACGAACTGCTCGAAAGTTGGCCAGCAGCTGCCGTTGCAGGTCACAAGCTTGATGACGTCAAAGAGGCGACTTATCTTCTCCTGGTTGGCCAGCGTTTGTGGCCTGGCGGAGTCGCTTGGCCGCCTCCTCGTCCTTGTTCTGCCCCATGGGATTGGCGACCTCGCCCAGGGCGTGCTTGTCGCCGCTGCCCCAGCCCACGAAGGCCATGGCCTCGTCGTCCTCCTCCTCCTCTGAGTCTGGGCCAACTGGTTTGGCCATGCCGCCGTGCAGACTCTCGGGCGTTGGTGCCGAGACAGGCGGTGGAGGCTGGGTGGGCGCTGGCAGCGGCGGGGTCGGCATCGGCGACGGCGATGCGCAGTCCGCCACTGCACTCTCGTGCTGCCTCTCGAGCTGGTCGAAGGTGTTGGCCAGGTCCTGCACCCTGGCCTGTAGAGCCGGCGGGACGACTCCTCCAGGCGGGATCTTCGCCTGCAGAGCCGCGCAGACCATCTTAGAAATGTCTGTGGTCTCGGATGCCTGCTGCGCCGCCGCGTGGGATGCCGTGGCCCGCTGCGCCTCGAGCTGCTGCAGCTCGCCCTTCGTGTCCGCGAACTCCTTGGAGCGCGTCTTATAAATAATGGGTGGCCAGGGACGTGATCTGCGCCGCGATGTCAGTGAGCTCGTGCTGGAAGCCCTCCACGTTCTGCTTGGTGATCTGCACGTGGTCGCGCAGTGACTGGGTCTGCTGGTCGAGGCTCTTGCCTCGCAGCGCTTCCATCTTCTCGTGCTTGAGTACCTCCAGAGCGTCGGGGTATTCTTTGCCCTGGACACCGACCCACTTCTTCCAGAAGGTGACTTGGACCTGAGCCAGTGCGACTGGGTCAGGTTGGGCGGGGGCCCTATGATCTTTGTCAGGCGCTTGTTGCTGCGATGGCTGCTCTTCCTTACCGTCGCCCAGGAAGCGTACTCGAGGTTCCCATGCAGCGCCTCTGCCTCCTCGGCCACTGGCGCGGGGCGGGTGGGAGGGCTGCCTGCTGCTCGCTCGACTCCGTTGGCCGAGGGCCTGGAGGTGCGAGCCGCACTGCGAGCAAGCCTTGGCAGGCGCCCATTCCCACCCGCGGCACTTGGCGCGGGGGCACACCAGGTACTTGCCGCGGGAAGCCAGACGCGCTGCACTGACGAGGGCGAGAGTGCCAAAGAAGCAGTCTGGCTGGAGAGATCGTGGTTGCGATCGGAGCGCGGGCCCCGAACCGACAGATGCCGGAAGCTGAAGGGTGGAGGGCTTGAGGCAGGGGCTGCCCTGCCACCCTCGGAGGCCTGCTGTGGGCCAGCTCGCCTCGAGCCAGCCCCTCGGCCGCAGGCAAGTACGAAGCCGCAGGGCCACGGTTTCGAGGAGGAGGAGGAGGAGGAGGAGGAGGTGGAGAAGGAGGAGGGGGAGGAGGTGGAGGAGGAGGAGGAGGGGGGGGAGGAGGAGGAGGAGGGGGAGCAGGAGGAGGAGGAGGAGGAGGAGGAGGAGGAGGAGGAGGAGGAGGAGGACTCCCGAACCTACCTCTCTGGCGCTCGCATCGCCGACCGTCGAATCATCCGGCCTGGCCGATCCCGCCGCCCTCGCCCCTGTTTTGCCCGGGAAGGTGGCAGCAGTCGACGAAGGCGGTCGTGCAGACCCTGGGGGCGTTCAAGGCGGGACACGCGCATGTGGAGTTTCGGCGCGGCCTCGGCTGAAGCCAACGGAAGTACAACAGCAGCGGGCAGTTTTCCTTCCCAAGTCGTTTCCTGGCTGCCCCGAGGCTCGAGACTGGCCTCCAGAAGCCAAGCACGGCGACAAGCGGGCCGCCTCGGTTTTCTTCGAGGCGACGGACGTCTGGGTCCCTGGTGATCCTGGCGTCGCATTTGTTTTTTTACACCGGGCGTCTCCCGGGCCCCAGGGCCCTCACAGAGCGACCCGGCTCGAGACATGCCGCAGGGCGCCGGGACCCAGAAGCTCCAGCTGTGCCTTCTCACGGTGTGTGCTTCTCTTTCGCGACCCTGGGATCCGACGTCGCGAGAAACGTGCAACATCCCCTGGGGGAGAACATCGTCCTGAGTCGTCTTTTGACGGCCCAGGGGCCCCGGCGAGGGCCGAAACGGCTCCCGCGCCTCGCCGCCCTGGCTGCCCTGGCTATCTTTCATTCTGTCGTCTCGTCGTTCGTTCCCCCCCTCTTTGCTCGTGTCCTGCGTCGTCGTCGTCGTCGTCCGCCGACTCTGCGGCCCGGCGCGCTGGATGCCGCGGCTCTGTCGTTGTGCTCGTCACCTCCTGTTCCGTAAGGTTGGGACGAGCTTCCGCCTTGACCCTGCCCGACGGCACGTAAGAGTTCTGCACGAACGAAGTGAGCACGGAAAGAATGGGTACAATGCCCAACAGCGGATCTAGCTCACTTTGAACAGGCCTCGCTGTCCGCGCCGCCGCGGCCTGTGTCCGTTCGGGACAGAAGGCCGCCTGCCCAACAGCGCCCGCTGTTGGTTTGGGACAACATTTGCTGTTGGGCATCGTACCCATCTTTTCGGTACCCATGTCGGGCGTCCAAAGGAGTGACCCTTCGCTGGAGTGGCCTCTGCTGCGGGCCCACCGGGGGGCCCCCGATCGCGACGGATGCCATGCGGCAGCAGCGGCCTGCGCGCTCGGGCCCTGCTCCTGCGAGCCCCGCCCCCGAAGCCGCGCACCGGAGGCCACGCCTGCCAGGGGGCCGCTCTCAAGTGCCGCCGGCTTCTCCACCGCGCCGGGGGCCCGGGACCCCAGGTCATCGAGGGCAAGAGGAGGAGGAGGAGGAGGAGGAGGAGGAGGAGGAGGAGGAGGAGGAGGGGGAGGAGGAGGAGGAGGAGGAGGAGGAGGAGGAGGAGGAGGAGGAGGAGGTCATCGGGCAAGAGAGCCCCTAACCCTAAGAGCACGATGGAGACGCAGCCTCACTGAGGTCCCTGCTTCTGCGCTGGGCGTCGCCATCCTGGGCGGTCTGGCTCGATGCATCTGCAGACAAGGCCCCCTGTCCCTGATATGTTCGTGGCCCTCCTGTACCTCGGGCCCCCTCCCAGAGGGCTCGGGGCCCCCTTTTCTGCTTCCTCTTCGGGGCCTCCTTAAGGGGACCCCCGCGCCAGGGCCTCGCGGAGCCCGCGGCGCAGGCGCCCTCGCCGAGGCCCGGCGGCGCCACCGGCTTCGGGGGCCGGCGGGCCGCGGCGGAGCGCCAGGCCGCCAGCGGCGCCGCGGCCGGCAGGAGCCGCCGCCCTCCCCGGGCCGCAGGAGGCCCCCAGCGGCAGGGGCCTGGGATGAGGGCGCCAGTTGTCGGAGGCCTGGGATGTAGGGACGTAAGTCGGGCAGGTCCCTCCACAGGAGGGATGGCCAGGAAGAGTGCAGCAAGAATGTTCCAGGGAGGATGTCTCGTGCTCTGCACGACTATTTCTCACAATCTCTTGGGGGCTCTTTCTTTGCGCTTCTTCCAAAATCCGCCTCTAGGGGGACATGCCCGACCTAAGCCTTGGAGGTGGACACCAACGCCAATATCGTTGATGTGCCTTCACCGAGGGGAGATGATCCCGATCTCGGCGATGGTGGTAATATTCGAGCTTCTGGGTGGCTGAGCGATTGCCACCAGCACCAACAGCAGCAACAGCATCCTCCTCGTCTTCTTCCTCCTCCTCCTATTCTTCTTTCTCCTCCTCCTGATCACCACCATCATCATCATCATCATCATCATCATCATCATCATCATCATCATCATCATCATCCTCATCCTCCTCCTCCTCCTCCTCATCATCATCATCATCATCATCAGTATCATCATCATCATCATCATCAGTATCAGTATCAGTATCAGTATCAGTATCAGTATCGTCATCATCATCAGTATCAGTATCAGTGTCGTCACCATCATCAGTATCAGTATCAGTATCATCGTCATCAGCAGCATCAGTGACAGCATCAGCATCAGCATGATCATCCTTATCACCATCTCGACCATCATCACCATCATCATCATCATCAGCAGCAGCATCACCATCTGAAACATAATCATCAGCATTAGCATCAGCATCACCATCACCATTACCATCATCAGCCTCATCATCTTCTTCATCGTCAGCATGTTCAGCATCATCATCATCAACATCATCATCGTCATCGTCGTCGTCGTCATCGTCATCCTCAGCAGCAGCAGCAGCAGCAGCAGAATCATCGTCATCGTCGTCGTCGTTGTCGCCGCCGCCACTGTCGTCGTCGTCGTCGTCGTCGTCGTCGTCGTCGTCGTCGTCGTCACAGTCGCCATCGTCCTCATCCCACCGCCCTCCCCCCTGCCTGCCCTCTCTGCGGGCAGGAGCTGCCCCTCCGCCTCCTCGACCGCGGGCCCGCCCGCGCTGGTCGGGCGCTGCTACCGGGTGGTGCACAAGCTGCTGGCGCTCGGCTCGTTGAAAGCATCCCCGTCCTCCCTCCAGTGGAGGAGGAGGAGGAGGAGGCGGAGGAGGAGGAAGAGGATCAAGAAGAAGAAGAAGAAGAGGAGGAGGAGGAGGAGGAGGAGCAGGATCAGGAGAGGAGGAGGAGAGGAGGACTTCACCCTCCTCTTCCCCCCTCCTCCTGCTCCTCGTCCCCTCACCTCCTCTTACCCTGCCCTCCAGTGGGTTGGAGGAGGAGGGGGAGGACGCCCTGCTCATCTTCCTCCCTAGTCATGTTCCTCCTTTCCTCTCCTCCTCCCTTCCTCCCTCAAGGGATGAGGAGGAGGAGGAGAAGAAGAAGAAGGACATCCTCATCCTCCTTCTCTCTCCTCCTCCTCCTCCTCCTCCTCCTCCTCCTCCTCTTCCTCCTCCTCCTCCTCCTCCTCTTCCTCCTGCTCATCCTCCTCCTGGTCTTCCTCCTCCTCCACCTCCTAGGCTCCGCCCCAGCGCTGGCCCCCCCTTCTCGCGGAGTCTCGTCCGAAGAACACAGGCCGCGATGGGGGCTGCCGCACCCGCGGGGGCATGAGGGCTGCCAGAGTGCCGCCCCTCGCGCGGAGGGGCAGGCGGGCGCTCCCAGTGCTCTGGCTGCAGGCACTGCTGCTGCTGGGAGGGGCGCGCCCATGCGAGGGACGCTTCACGTTCCTCTCGGTGTGGAACCCCCAGAACCTCCTGTCGCCCGCCCGCTTGGATGAAGTGTCGCGGGCACTGGCTGGCGTGGGAATCATCGGCCTCCCTGGCACGTGTGTGCGACAGTGGTGGAACGAACCTCACCACAAGGCGACGGCAGTGGCCCACCACGTGGTGCATTTTGGGTGGCAGCGCTCCAGGCTCGTCAACAAGAGCTGTGGATGCGCACTGATGTTGGCCAAGAAGTACTCCGGAGTGAACGATATTCGGCGGCTGGTCACCCCGCCTGTGGGCCTCCGCGGGCGAGGCGGACTGGCCTACATCGCCTCAGGCCCGCTGCTACTCGCCGTGTTCGTGCTCTACTTCCCCCCGCGGCCAGCGGCTAAGGGGGAGGCGCCCATCTGGCGCGACACCTGCAGGGCGCTGGTGGCTTGGGCGCGGGATGAACTCCTTCGTGTACCACAGCGATATACCCCTGTATTGCTCATGGACCTCAACTCGGGCCTGACCCCGCACTTCGACGAGGATCCCGTGGTCGGCCAGTCCGGTGCAGCGACCGAAAGCCTTGCGGGCAAGCTGGTCCATGAGTGGCTGGCGGGGGCACGTATGCAGGCGTTCAACACCACGAAGCAGGTGGGCAACACGTACTTCGGCATAGGCGGAGTGTCCTCGCAGATCGACTACATTTGCGTGCCCCAGAGTGCGGGAGTACTAGTGGAATGGACGAAGGCGCGGCACCGTACGGCGGAGGCCATCCGAGCGTCCCCTGCGATCCTAGACCACGTCCCCGTGGTCACCAAGATACGGATCGTGCCGCCCTTGAACCAGCTACCGCTACGAGAGCGCTGGGACCGCCCACGCTTGTCAGGAGCAGTCATGTCGGGCAGTGGACGAGAACAGTTTATGGCCGACCTGCACGAGGCTTTCTTGGAGATTGGCCCATCGCTCGACGTGCTGGAGACGAGAGAAGCGACTACTGGCCACGCCACGCTGGTCATGGGCACTATCCGCAAGATCGGGCTGGCGCACTTCTCTCAGGCCACGGCGCGCCCACTGCACGAGAGGAAGCTGGACGAGAAGAAGTGGCAGCTGCTCCGCGAAAGGCGTACCATCCTGGAGGAGGTAAAGGCCCAGGAGTTCGAGGCCATTCAGAGCTGCTCTCCTCCAGCGACCTTATCGACGGCTACGGGCCTTGCTGGTGGCCCCCCCTCGTCCCTACCTTGCGCTGGATCGGTCGAACCACTCGTATCAGAACGCAACATGTGGAGCAGAGGCCCAGGTGTCCTACCCCGTCGTGGTGTTGAGGAGCCAGACCTGCCTCGTGAGAGGGTCGCCGAGCTGCGGACGCTCGGCAGCGCGATCAAGAGCTACACGAAGGCCCTCCAGCACTGGCGACGCCGCAGAGCCCACGAGCGCCAGAAGTTCATTGAGGACGAACTCAGACAAGCATGAAGAGGCCGTGACATGGCCCAGGTCCCTCGGCTTGCCCGCTCGCTGGCACGCACGGGCATCGGTGTGAAGAACCGAAACTACAGAGCGCACGCCTCGTGCAACCCGACGTGCGACGAGTGGTCCACCTTCCTTGCGCAGGACCCGCTCCAGGGCGGCTTGGCAGCTACTCGCGCGACCGTCCCTCTCTGCCACAACTTGAAGCCCGACAGGCTCCCGGACCTGGGCAACACATCGGACTACGCCTTCCCCGATACGGTACACATATCCGAGGAGGATGTTCGTGGGGGCCAGTCGGACTTCAAGATGACAATCAAGGCCCTTCGCCGCACGAAGATTGGCAAGTTTGCGCCGTCCTGGTCTGCTCCCTCGGAGATTTTCAAGATGATCGTGGACCCAGGATGGCTCAGCAATCCGACCTTGTATGCCCGTCTGCCCTGGGGAGTGGGAGCTCGACGACCGTTGGTGATGGAAGAAGGACCCCGAGCGCCTGACCCCTATGCGCGCCTGCAGCTTCGCCACCTGGAGGCATTGGGAGAAGGACGTCGTCGCCTGTGCCGCCGCGCTGCACGTGCGACGCATTGGACTCTTACCAGTACAGGCGCCCCTTTCGCATGGATTTGCCCCAGATAAACGAAATGGGAAGACAGGAGCTGCAGGCAGACGGCTGGCACATGTCTTGTGCCCTTTCTGGAGAGCAGTAATGAGGGGAGGACTTCTTCGTGGGAGCACCTTCCGACCGCCAGCATGGGCGTTCGCGGCTCGGGGAAGACGAAGGGAACATTTGATGATGGCGACGAGGATCGTGGCGTGGAAGGGGCACCACTCAGGACAGTACATGCTCCACGAGAGCTACGACGCCACGAACGCGTTCGGGCGCGGCCGCAAGGAGGACCTAGAGCGCTCCGTCAGGCACCGATTGGAGGAGGAGGAGGAGATCAAGGACGAAGACCTCAACTACGTGACGGCGATCTCCCGTCAGAGACGTTTGGCGCTCACCGTGGTCACCCCAGCTGCAGACGGCGAGGTGGCCCTGAAGAGCGGATCAGGAGGATTCATGGGGGACACATCGGAGCCAGGGTTTTTCATGAGTAGCTACCACACCGCAGTGACGAAGTGGGCCGAAGTTGAGACGGCCCGATCTAACGGCGAGATGCTCATCAGGATGCAGAACCTGCCCGAGGTCGACGCAAGCCTGGGATGTTTCATGGACGACATCTTCAAGACTCAGCTTCTGTCGGAGCCCCAGTCAGCGGCGGAGGTGATCCGCCTCTCGCCGCGTAACGACCAGGGATTGGACCAGGCCCTTGCGGAGAGAGCCTACGGCCAGAACAGGGCCAAGCAGGACGTGGTGCCAGCTTTTCCCTCGAGGCAGCTGGTACGTCGCACGATCACGGAGCTGAATCGCAGCGGCTGCCGCAGCAGCTACGAGCTGAAGCACCTGGGCGCATGGTTCAACGCGGTGAACAGCAACAGCAACGAGCTCAAGGCACGGCTGGCGGCGATCACGAAAGGCTGGATGATGGTGCAGGGGTTCTGGTATTCGTCGTCGCCATTACGAGTCAAGAGATTGATGTTCATATCCCTGGTGAGCGGTGCGGCCCTCTCGGGCACGGTGGCCTTTTGCTGGGCGGCCGCGGAGACCAGGCAGTTGTGTGGTGCATTGGCGTGCAAGCTACGTTCTATGATGGGAGGCACGGCCAAAGCGGGACCATCGCATATCACGACGCTTACCACACGTGAGGTATATAGGCATTGGACTTTCGTGCCCTTTGCATTGGAGGCAACAGTTCAAAGGCTGAAGTTATGGCAGGCGATTGCTAGAGCGCCTCGGAACCATGCCCACCTGCTGGCCATCTTTTATGGCGAGATGCAGTGGGAGGCCACCAGCGCCTATCGCTGCCCACCGACGCTGCTAGAGGACGGCCGCTTCAACGACACGACGCTGGTCCACCCTTGGGCGCGCCAGCTCCGACAGGACTTGGAGGTGATGTGCAGCGCACCTGAAGCGGAGTCATTCGCTGAGGTGTGGGGGTTTGGCTCTGTGCTGGACCTGCTGTGGGACGAGGAGGTGAACTACCTCTTCACCTCTTTTGATCCGCGGTGCCTGCGCAGCGCCTTTGCTGCAGTACAGTGGGCACCGCCACCTTGCCTGGCGGACGCTGTGCCAGCCGCCCAGGACGATCAGCTGACTTGGGAAAAAGGAGAAGCGGACGTCTTTGCTTGCACGATCAGAGCCAACCCAGATGACCCGGTATGTGGACAGAGTTTTCGCACGCGTGCAGCGCTCGTAGCACATGTATGTCAGTCTCGACAACAAGGGCATGGGGGACAGAGTTTATTCAATATTCTTACGCCTAGCAATGCATGCATCAACTGCAACACGGTCTTTCAGAGCAGGGGGGGGGCGGCGAGGCATCTTGCACGGTCATGGCATGCTGGGAGATGTATCAAGCACAACACGGCGTACCCGTACACGCACCTCCCACCTACTACGCACGTGTGCGCGCTGTGCCAGTCCTCGTTCGCGACCTACGAGAACCTCCGTAGCCACTTGTGCTCGCACCTGCCGCCGACGCAGGAGGGCAGATCCATCTCAGTCGTCACGCCGAGACCTGTACCGTCCAGACCAAGGCCGAGGGTGAAAAGGCTCGCAGCGCCCCCTTCAGGACCACGCCTGAGAGGAAGTGAGATTCGCACAGTTGAGCGCTTGTTTGTCAGCAGCACCGCTCTCTTACCTAATGGAAGTGGAGAAGTCGGGGAGGTGGCGCCCACGCAAGGGGGGCCCCTTGGCTCTGTCGCCGACTGGTGGGCAGGCGTCCAACGGCGGCGACGAGAATCAGCAGCGCAAGGGAGCTCGAGCCGAGGGAGGAGCACGACTCCAACGTGGCGGCGGAGGCAACGAGGGCTCGGGGACCAAGCCGAAGGTCAGACGTGGCGGTCGGAGGCGAGCCGAGCAGAAGGACCGCAAGTTGAACACCAAGGATGCTGGCCTCCGAGAGATCCTGCTACTGCTGAGTATGCAAGTGGCCCAGCTCACCCAGAAATCGCGGGCACTATGGGGGATCGCCACCAGGACCATCCTGATAGAGGAGGAGCAGCGTGGTGAAGGCCATGCAGCAGGAGTCGAAGGGTTTCTCGGACCACGCGGCGAACCTCCGCACGCAGATAGGCAAGTACAAGGAGGACGCCAAGAAGGCGAGCGGCACCGACGCGGGGGCCGAGAAGGAGGCGGCGACGAAGGCCGAGGAGATCCAGAAGGAGCTGCGCACGCTGGGGCCCCCCGCCCCAGCTCTCTTCGCGGAGCTCGTCGAGAGTCTGGCGGCCGAGGAGGTCGGGGCGGCCAACCGCAGGGCGCTGGAGGCGATGAAGCAGGAGTTCGTCGAGGCCCCGCCCACGGACGTCCGCCTGTGCAGGTTGGAGAGCTGCAAGGACGAGGACATGATCAAGATCGTGCTGGCCCTCGACGGCAAGTCCATGGAGGGGGTGATCGCGGCCTCGCTGCACGCGATGGGCGCCCAGGTGACGAGTGGCATGGCCCCCTCGGGATACATGGAGGACGAGATCAGCGCCTGGATCGACGCGCTGAAGGCGGCTGAAGCCCAGCAGGTGAGCCTGTCGGATGCAGCTTCGCCGCCCTGCGCCCAGACGTTGGAGGGGTCGTGTCATTGTCGTCCGAGTCGGGGGAGGAGGTGGGATCTATGTAGAGTCTGGCCCCCCCTACGGCCCCCGCGGCTTCGCCGTGCTCGCGGTGTTATGACGGATCATCGCGGGGGCTGTGGGGGGGGGACAAAGACGCTTTCCCTCTTTGGGACCGACTAGAGTCGGCAACCGTCGAGGCCACTGATCGTCTCGGTGGGTTAGTATCTCTGGACCGATGTGCACGCACTGCCTCGGAGCCATCGAGCTTCGGGATGCGCAGCCGTGCGCACCTGGCATAGCAGCAGCACCAGCATGGCGCGGACGGCGGACATGTGAATCTTTATAGCAGTTTTACCCCGCGACGGGTTGCACAGCTCGCATGCAGCGTGTGGTCAGTCACCATGTGCACGAGTGCTGGTGTGCATACGCGTTAGATGTTTCTCGCGAGCATCGGAGTACCTCGTAATCTTGTCCAGCAGCCGCGTGCAAGCAAGCAAGCAAGCAAGCTCCACCTCCTTGCCTCCTCTTCACTGCCACAGTTCCTTCCGCCATCCTTGCAGCAACAACGGAGCGCTCCTCAGGATCCAAGCTAGGAGATATGTTTCGTTCCATAAGTCCAGCTAATAGGGGATCCCATGGGCATGTCTGTATATCCGTCTGTCTGTTTGTCTGACTGACCTCTCTGTCTGTCTGTCAGTCTGTCTGCCTGTCTGTCTGTGTGTCCGTCTGTCTGTCTGTCTGCCCGTCTGTCTGTCTGTCTGCCTGCATGTCTGTCTGTGTCTGTCTGTCTGTCTGCCCGTCTGTCTGTCTGTCTGTCTGTCTGTATGTCTGTCTGTCTGTCTGTCTGTTTGTCTGTCTGTCTGTCTGTCTGCCCGTCGGTCTGTCTGTCTGTCTGTCTGTCTGTCTGTCTGTCTGTCTGTCTGTCTGTCTGTCTGTCTGTCTGTCTGCCGTCATCACCATCATCAGCATCATCATCAGTATCATTGTCATCGCCACCACCTGTCTTCTCCTCATCATCACCTCCGCCACCGCCATCATCATCAACATCATCATCATCATCACCATCATCAGCATCATAATCGTTATCACCAGCATCATCATCATCATCATCATCATCAGCAGCATCATCACCATCACCATTAGATGCATCATCATCATCACCGCCATCAGCATCATCATCATTATAATCATCAGCATCATCATCCTCATCATCGCCACCGTCTTCCTCATCTTCCTCCCACGCCGAGGGAGGAGGAGGACCAGGGGGTATGGGGAGGAGTAGCAGGAGGTACGACGAGGAGGAGGAGGAGGAGGAGGAGGAGGAGGAGGAGGAGGAGGAGGAGGAGGAGGGAGGAGGAGGAGGGGGGGGGGCGGGGGAGGAGGAGGCATGAGCAGTGATTCGAAGGAGGAGGCATGGGGAGTACCTTGTGGACCACAGCCCAGTCGGACCGCCCTCGGCTGCCCGGGCCCGCGCCTCCAAGCCCACCCCTCCCGGACCCCGCCCCAGGTGAAGCGTGAGGAATCGCCGGAGAGCCCGTTCGCCTGCTGGATCTCGCGCGCGCGGGGGGTATCGCCGCCCAGCGCCTCCTCCTCCTCCTCTCCTCCTCCTCCTCCTCCTCCTCCTCCTCCTCCTCCTCCTCCTCCTCCTCCTCCTCCTCCTCCTCCTCCTCCCCCGACGACGACGACGACGACGACGACGACGACGACGAAGATGCCGCCGAGGACGACGTCGACGGCCACGTCGCCGCCGACGACGACAACGACGACGACGACGACAACAACGTTGACGGCGTCGACGACGACTAAGTCGACCACCACCACCTTTGGGATCCCATGGCAGCGCCCCAGGCGGCGGGTAAGCTCGAGGCTCCTGGCGCACACTGGACGCCAAGGCGAGCTGTTGGAGTGCGGGGCGTGGCTGCCCAGAAGAGCGCCCGACGACCGCGCGTCGGCAGACCCGAGTCTCGCCTCGGCGGCAGGTGTGCGCGCCGAGCGCTGCGCGCGGGCGGCCCCCGGAGGTGGCCCCGCTGGCCTCCACAGGCCGCTCGGACCTGGCCGGCGCGGCTCGCCCGCAGGGGCGCCACGAGAGGCGGCGCCGCGGTGTCGAGACCCTCCTGGGCAACCTGCAGACACGCACGCTACGACATCGTGCCCCAAGAGAGAAGTGTATGGGGGCGCGTTGGTCGTCGAGCTTCGGACTGTCCTGAGGCTCCCTGGGTGTCTGCGGGGCCGTCGAGGGCGAAGTGGGCCCCGATGGCACATTTGGCGTGCCCACTGTACCAGGCATCCTGGTCGCAGCCATCTTGGACTACCTCGCGGGGGGCTGTTTTCCATGCAGCCCGCAGCGTTACGGCTTCACGACGTCCGACCGACCACCACCACCGCCCAGCGCTTAAATTCAGTGGGGATGTCCGGGGCGTGGTCGAGTCCTCTGTGGACGTCGGACCACCAGTTTGGTTGGGTCCGACTGGTGCGAAATGCAGCTGGCACGCCAGATAAGAAACGTGCTTGCCAGCACGTACCGCACGCATATATGTCATTCCCATGCGTGGCGTGGGCCTCTTTATTACAGTAGTGCAGGTGCACTGGCATCGCCCATCAGGCCCCTCAGGGGCGTGCCTCAGGGTTACTCGACAGCGCTGGCAACGACTCTAGCAAGTCTTGCGTCGCGGCGGCCGCTTGGGGCAAGAGGGCTATCATGGACGACTGGCTCTGGTGTTCAGTCTGCTGACGCGTTGCAGGGGGACTTAGAGGCGACCGAGCAGTTCGACAGCAGCGTGGGCTTCTCGGAGAACGTGAGAGGGAGGCAAATGTTACAAGGCTCTCGCCCAGCGACGAAGCAGATCGAGCACCTTGGTGTACTTTGCGCACGTGCGGATCATTCGGCCCACATCCTCCCGCGGCAAGGATGGAGCAACATGAAGACGATCAGTAATCGTGCAAAGGTTCCAGGAAACGACTTAGCCATAACGATATTGACATGTGTTTACATCAGGTTTTTGCGGTGATGGACGAGTCCCGCGGTGGCGCTGCCCCCAGCAAAGTTTCACGGACAGTTGTGGGCGGCCGTCTGGAGGAAAGCTAGAACGTGATGGTGTCTTGGGCGTTGGTTGTGCGTGGCATCTTGGGCGTTGGTGGTGCCAACGTATTTGCCCCCACCCTGCGTGTTCGTCAGCGTTGGCGTCGTTCCAGAAGATCTCAGATCAAAAGCTCGTGTGGCCGCATGTCCTGGAGACCTCTTTCATTGCTCGTGGTGAAGCTCATGGATTCCGCTTCGTCAGATATTTGGACGACAGAGGCACCCTCTTGGAGGTCAATCGTTCAGATGGTTACCGAGTGCCATATGTAATGGGGAGCTGACTTGGTGACCATTGGCGTTTCTGGACGACTGGGGCCAACCCCAAATCTATACAGCAATTGTTTCGAGTAATCGCGAGGAGACGTTGCTTACACATTGTTTTCCGAGCTGGCTTCGATTATGAGACGCATATATTGGGATTTGGCTTCGATGTTTGGCTTCATTTGTTTACGTGTATGGTATTGGTGTGGACGCGTTTGTTCGCATAAAGGTTCGCAAGACGGACCAGCTCGCTCAACCGCCATGAAGTGTCTTTGTCTTAGTGTTTTCAGAAGTGGAGCGCTCACCTCAGAGACCAGGAGGCAGAAGGGCACGGATTCCTAGTGGTGTGTGGCGTTGTGGCCTAGAATGCGCCGTGTTGTCACGGAGTGCCCATGAGGTAAGCGGCTGCGGGAGCAGCTGAACGACGCCTATTATTTCCCAGTTTGGTTGCGGAGCTCTCTGCTGAGAGTCTCTCCTGAGCCGGTTTGGATCACATACTCGTTGTCGGAGCGTCTCTTTGAACAGGCTTGGGTGTTGTTGGCTGTCAGCAGGCGTGGAGCCGGTACTGTCGAGCTGGGCCCCGGGAGCACGCCGCATGACGCGGTCCTGAAGCTGTTTCCTTCATTTCCGCTGTTCATTTTTCATGTCCTTCATTTTCGCTGTTCATTTTCGCTGTTCATGTTTCATTTCCTTCATTTTCGCTGTTCATTTTTCGCTGTTCATTTTTCATGTCCTTCCGTTGCGGACGCTCGCTTCCTTCCTCTTCGCTGCTCAGAGCTCGCGCCCCGCGGGTGGATGGGCGGCATCCTTGCGCCGCGGGCGCTCGGAGCCCAGAGGGCCCCGCCGCCCCACGCGGTCCTGGCCATCGGACCATGGGGCCCCCACCCGTGTGGTCGCAGGCCGTGGCCTTCCACCACGCAGAGCCCCGCCCCACACATGGATCCTCCTCGTCTTCCTTCCCGCCCGATGAAAACAACGGTCCGTCCTCCCCATCAGTCAGCTGCGTCCTCCATGCCATCAGCAGCGGCATCATAGGATCATCACCAGCATCATTACCACCGTCGTCATCATCACCATCATCAGTAGGTTCATCTTAGCTCCCACCACCGTCATCAGCATCATCATCATCATCATCATCATCATCATCATCATCATCATCATCATCATCATCATCATCATCATCAGCATCATCATCGTTTATCATCATCAGCAGCATCATCATAATCATCGTCATCATTGGCATCTTTCTCCTTCTCCCCGCCGCCCTCCTCGTCGTCCGGATATACCGCCTCCCCCTCCTTGTGCTGGTCGTTCCACTTGGGCGTTGCCTTTCCCGATTGCCTGTTACCTCGCTCAGAGTGGTGAACACCGTTCCGATCGACTGACTTACACTCATGTTCTCCCTCTCCTCGTCCTCTCCCTCCTCCCTCCACCCTTCCACGTCTCCTCATCTTAGGGAAAGCTGGCATCGCGTTATGGTGGCAAGAAGCGCCCGGCTCCCAGGATCATGGTCGACGCCGTTGTCAAGGTTGCATGGTTGACAAGCTGGCGGGGGCCAGGAGGGCACGGACGAGGACGACGACGAGGAGGACGCGGCGCAGGAGGCGCAGGAGGCGCAGGAGCGGGAGCAGGAAAAAGGGAGGGTGAGGAAACAATTGAGCAACATGTGTGGGGCGCGTCCAACGGAAATGGCGAAGGATGGGCCGGGGAGGTGGAAGAGCAGTAGCAGCAGCGGACGGAGCAGGAGAAGGGAAAGGAGAAAAGGAGGGGGGGAGGGAGACGGGGACGGGGCAAAGAGGGTGAACAATGGTGCAGGAGCACGCGGAGAATAAGCAATGTCCCGGCGAGATGTTCCCAGAGCCCCCGGAAGTGCTCATGGAATGCATGAAACATTCCCCCCGTCGTCTCTCATTATGTTGCTCCTCCTCCTCCTTTTCCTCCTCCTTCTCCTCCTCCTCCGCATTATCATCCTCTTCAAAGAAACATTGTGACGGCAGGAGCTGGGGCATCTTTTAGTACTACCTCTTCTGGAAGTCCCTTGCTCTTGCGCCTCCTGCGCCTCCGCATCGTCATCCCTCCTCCCCCCCCTCCTCCTCCTCCTCCTCCTTCTCCTCCCTTCTAATCCTCCTAATCCCTCCGCCTCCCCCTCCTCGTCCTCATCCTCCTTCTCCTCCTCCTCCTCCTCCTCCTCCTCCTCTTCCTCCTCCCTTTTCTCCTTCTCCTCCTCCTCCTCCTCTTCCCGGACGAGGCGCTGCAGGCCCGCGGCGTGCTGGTGCCCTGCGCACTTCGACCTCGAGACGTTCCGCGGCCAGCCCGAGCGATTCGCCGAGGATTGTCGTGGCAACGAGTGGGCTGACTTCTTCGCCAGGGTGGGAGCTCGCCTGCACAGATTGCCAGACACCTTGCGAGACTTGTTCAAGGTGAAGCTCAGCGATGCCAAAGATGAGGCGGAGGCCCTGTCCTGGCTCGTGTCAGCAGCTGGCGAGCACACAGAAGCTGCCGGCTTGCTTGTGCCGCCCCGCGTTCGGCCAGTGACGACGGCCAGGCCTGTACAGTTGGTCGGGTCGCGTCACGACCTCGAGCGCCACGGAGGCACGGTGCGGTGCAGGAGGTGTGGTGCGTCGGCGTCCAAGGACGCCAGCAGGGCCCGTCTGGCCTCCAGCACCTGTGTTCCCACGCGGTTGCAGGAAATGATGGCTCGGGCTCGAGCTCATCTCCCCTACTCTTCCTCCGCCGCCCCTCTCCCCTCCGCTCGTGAGGATGCCGCCCGAGTCGCCCTTCGTGCTGCGGACCGCTTTTCAGCTTCTGCGGGCGAGGTGATTCAGGGGCCACCCACGGCTGAGAGACCTTGGATTCCAGGGCCTGCCGAGCCCACGTGCCCTGCGGGCGGGGATCCCCCCGTGGTGGACACGTGGTCCGACAGGGAGGTCCCCTCTGGGGAGCGGGCCTCGTTGGCCTGCTCGAGCGCCGCGGGCCTTCCTTCGGCTGCGAGACCCTGGATTCAAGGACCTGCCGTGCCCGCGGGCCGTGCGGGCGGGGACCCCCTTGAGGAGGACGTGGGGTCCGACAGGGGGAGTCCCCTCTGGGGAGCTGGCCTCGGTGGCCAGCCCGGGCTCCTCCGGGCTCCTGCGGGCCTCGGGAGCCCCCGAGCCCCCGCATGAGCTTTCCCGTGGCCACCACTTGTTCGCCGAGGGCCCGTATGTCTATTGTTTGCGACGCGGTGGATCAGCATCCATTCGCCAGTCGCCCACGCTGCTGAGCGACTGCCTGGGTCAAGTGACCTGGGCCCTGGGCCTCTAGCCGCATCCGAATGACGGCTCTCGCTAATCTACAGGGCTCCCGCCACCCCCGTACGGGGGTCCCTATCGGCGGGCACGGACCGCCAGGGCACAGGAGATAGCCATATAGTATAGTTCGTGGCGCTCCTGGGGGCTTCGCCTAGCCGTGCCCCTCAACGGAGTCATCAGTCTGTCCGATCCTCCTCCTCCTCCCAATCTCTGGCCAGTCTTCTTCTGTCTTGGGGGGGGGCCCGAAGCTTCGTTCCCTGGGATGGCCTGGGGGCTCCTCTCGTTCTGGGGCCCCCGTGTTCGGGCGGATGCGGTTCTTCGACGCGCTCAGTGCAGCGGCGCTCGTCTCCAGGACAGCCGTCCTCTGGAGGAGGAGGGAGTCGGACGCCACGACCAGGGCTACGGCACCTGGCCCCGACGGGGCACACAGCGTGGCGCCATCGTCTTCGTTGCCTCTCTCTGTCCTCGCAGGCGCTTCGGCTCGGATGGCTGCCGGGCTGTCGATGCGATGGGAGCTGAACGGTTCGAAGCCGACACTCGCCCCGAAGAGGGGACGTCGTCGGAACATCTGATTGGTGTTCGAGGAAGGCGGGGGACACGCGTCCCTTGTCTCTCAAAATACGTCGAACAAGGTCATTGCCGGCAGCGGGTCTCGGGCTCTGAACGCAGTGATCAAGGATTGGGCATGCAGAACCCAGCGGGAATGTGTGCCTGGGCGGCAGATCGTTTTGAATGTGGTTGGGCTAAGCGCCGCCTCTCGCGCCACCAGCGCCACCAGCTTGCGGTCGCGCACGCATCGAGAGGATGCCCACTCTATTCCTTTACGATTCTGTGCAGGTCTTCCCCTCAGCCAATCAGGTCTGGATGCACCTATGCCTGCAGATCCTGAATATCCCGATCGGCATCCCGCACACAGCGAGGAAGAGGCAGGCATAGGTAGTGACCCTCGAAAGCTGTTCCTCGCAATCGGCAATGCGCATGCCGATGCATGGGCTGGGGCGGCAGCCCCCCCCACGACTCCTGGAGTCAGGCGCTCGTAGGTGTCGCGCCGTTCACCGACCTTCGCAGTAGCCTGTGCGCCCGAATCACACGCAGAGCCCGTGAAACCGTGGCTGACTCCATCGCTGCGGACCCGCGGGCCAGTGAGAGGCCATCGCTGGCCAAGCAGATGGGGGCCCAGCAGTCTCCAGCGGGCCCTCGGGACGAGCCAGCACGACTGCGCGAGATCTGCGGCAGCAGGTGCAGATGCACCAGATGCGCCGGAGTGGTACTCCAGATCTCGTAAGAAAGGGAGGGGGGTCTCATTTCGGGGGGGGGTCTCTTCCAGGCTATCTTGGAGGGCCTGGGGGGTCTGGGGACGATGTTTTGGAGGGTTCTCCCACGGGGGAGGTCTGAAATGGCTTGTCTTGGAGGGTCCCGACCCCCTCCCTTTTATTACGAAATCTGGAGTAGGCAGTGCCGCCAGCCGACCGCGAGGCTATCGTCGCTGGTCTCGACGCTGTTTCTGTCTGCGTTGGGGAGCCCCCTGACTCCCACCAGTTGCACGGGATGTCCGAGTATGAGCTGGAGACTGCCATTGTTGCGAGAAGGCGGCCACGCAGGATCCGCGCCATGTCGCTGCCCAATGCGCAGGCATCACGCGCAAGGGCAGGGATAGTCTTGCCAAGATTGGCCGAAGAGACTGCCCCAGAGCCACGGTCATCACCGCGTATGTGCGCGATGCTCGCTCTGCTGACATTGTTGCGCTGCCTCTTGGAGCGATTCGTGGCGGGGTGGATGGGTTGGGCGGCCTCTCGCCACTCGGCGAATACCTGTCCAATTTGGCAGCGCGCTCCCCGCAGGAGGCGGCAGCTGCCATGCCCCTCTGGCAGGAGGCCCAACCGTTTCAGCCGGAACGCTTGCGCGGGCTGCCCGCCAGAGCCAGCAGCAGCAACAGGTTCTCGAGGAGGTTTGCCTGGCCGTGGTCGTGAACTCTTGGCGCCCACGGGGAGACACGGTCGAGCGACCCCGGCGTCCCCAGAAGGCTCCACGGCACATTGGTAGTCCCCAAACGTGGTGGTGACAACACCTGGCGGTGAGTCTCGGGCGATTTGGTGTCACCACCCGGTTTGGGGACTCGTGCGGTTTTCCGAGGATGTCCCGGACACTGGTGGGTCCAGGAGTCACAGAACCCGGCGGTGACCCCGCGTCCCCCAAACCCAGCGGTGACCTTTTTGGGGATTCCAGGTCGCCACCTGGTATCTCACCACCCGGTTTGGGGGCTCCCAAGCACAGCCTTCGACGACAGCCGACAGCGATTCGCAGGAGGCGTGTGCAGCTCACCTGCTCGAGAAGGGGTGTGCTGAGGTCCGCTCCCAAGCGCTGGCCCACGCACCCTCGTGCGCCTTCTGCTTGTTCCTGATGCTTCCTCTCCCCCCCCTTCCTGGGCCACGAAGCCTCCTCCTCCTCCTCCTCCTCCTCCTCCTCCCTCCTCCTCCTCCTCCTCCTCCTCTCGCCTCCTCCTCCTCCTCCTCCTCCTCCTCCTCCTCCTCCTCCTCCTCCTCCTCCTCCTCCTCCTCCTCCTCCTCCTCCTCCTCTCGCCTCCTCTTCGCCATCCAACCTCCTTCCGCGTCCTCCTGCTCCTCCCGGATGCGCGGGATCGAAGACGAGGGGCGAGCCGGGTTGGCTGTGGCCGAGGCCCCTCCCCGGCTGCCCCCGGGGCCCCCTCGACGAGGTCGTCGCGCTGGGCAAGGCCCCGGGGCGCCTGCAGGTCGAGGACCACCAGGGCCGCCAGGGCTGGACCAGCATGCGCCGGAAGGACGGCCAGGATCGTTCGAGGGGTGGGGGGGGGGGGGGGCCCTCCTCCTTCGCCCCTCCTCCCTGCGCGTTTCGCCCCATCCCTCCCTCTTCTGCGCGCGCCTTCGGAGAGGGCCCATGGGCCTGCCGGTGAGACGAGCTGTGAAATTGGAGCCGCTGCCCGTGGGCATGAAATGCGGAAGTTGTCCAGTGAGGGTCCCGTTTTGAAGAGAGACGCCCTCCGTCCGTGTCATTTCAAGGGCAGGAGAAACGCCCCTACCCTGGTTTACGAGACGCTGTGCTCTGAACCTCCTGTGGGCTGACAGGGCAAACCTGGCGTGATGTGCCGCGTCCTGGCGGCTCTAGGCTTTGGGGGTTCCCAGGAGGTTTACAGACCACGCACTTGTAATCCAGGGTAGGGTCGTTTTTTTTCGTCCCTCAATAATTGATACAGATGTTGGGCTATGGTCACAAGCTGTGGGGGGTCCCCTGCGAGACGCCAGACTGCAAGAGGAGCCGCCCGCAACCTTTCCCAGGTACTTGCGAGTGTGTCAAACACATTGGCGGCCATGACCATGGAGGAAGTCTAACATGAGAGCTCCCTGGTAAAGAATGGCAGCCCTTCATTCGTGTGACCGCTGGAGTCTGCCGACCGATCGCTGCCATTTTAGTTGGGTACCTGCATGCCGTAGTTGATACAGATGGCTAAGGAGAGGGGGCGGCACATGTACTTATCGAAGCCGCCAACGGCGAATCACCGACGCCCGTTGCCGTTTGGAAACGCCTGTGTGTATGTGTCTCTGTGTCTGAATGTGTCTGTGCGTCTGTTTGTCTGTTTGTGTATCTGTGCCTGTGTGTCTGTGTTTCTGTGTGTCTGTGTGCCTGTGTGTGCGCGTGTGTTTGTGCATGTGTAGGTGTGTGTGCGCGTGTGCGTGCGTGCGTGTGTGCGTGTTTGTGTGTGTGCGCGTGTGTGTGTGTGTTTGTGTGTGCGCGTGTGTGTGCGTTTGTGTTTGTGTGTGTGTGTGTGCGAATGTGTGTGTGTGTGCGTGTGTTTGTGCGTGTGCGTGTGTGCGCGTGTGCGTGTGTGCGTGTGCTGCGTTTGTGCGTGTGCGTATGCGTGTGCGTATGTGTGTGCGTGTGTGCGTGTGTGTGTGTGTGTGTGTGTGTGTGCGTGTGTGTGCGTGTGTGTGTGTGTGTGCGTGTGTGTGTGCGTGTGTGCGTGTGTGTGCGCGTGTGTTTGCGTGTGTGTGTGTGTGTGTCCAACAAATGTTGGGACAATGCCTGGCCAAGCTATTGGACCATGTGTTCCCGCAGCCGTTGTGGAAACCCTGTGGGGAAAATGTGGGAGAAGAGAGGAAAGAGGAGAAAGAGAGGGGAGGGGGGGAGAACGGAGGAGGATAAGCAGGATTCAGCTTCCTGGGGGGCCTCATGAGGGCTTCTTCGGTCTTCGGTGGAGTCGCTCAGAGGAGCATCCGAGGGGCCTCGCGTGTCGCTTGGAGGCTCTCTTGGCCCCTCGTGAGGCTCCCGTGGCGCCCGCTTGCGTCTGGCACACGTCGTGTGGCCAGCGCTGTTGCCAGGAAGCTTGGCAGGAGGCTCACGTCAAGCGTGCCCGCTCGTCCTCTCGGCTGACATCGCGTCACCAGCGCTGCTGCGAGGAAGGTTCCAAGGAGACACCCCAGCGCTCCCCCTCGCCTGCGTCTCCCGTCGCGTTGCCAGCGTTGCTCCCTTAGTCAACCCGCATAGTAAGGACGGGCAACCTTCCCAAGGGTACCTTTGCACCCTTGCCCCCTCGGTCCATCCTTCGCCACTTTCGTCGGCCGCGCCCCGCTCGAATAAGCCTCGAAATGGGCGTCCGAAGCCCATGGCATCCTTCCCGCGCATCCTCACTACACGGGTTGACTGCAACTAGGTTTGCCAAGGCCTCAGACGGCCCAGCAGGGGCCCGGGCCTGAACCCACTGGGACCCGAATTGGAGGGGGTGGCTCCCGGCGGCGCGGCGCCGGCACGCCTTTGGGCCCCCTCTCGTGGCCGTCTTGTCTTGGGGACCTCTCGGGGCCTCTTGGTGGCATCGGGGGTCGTCCTGCAGCGATCTCGAGGGACTCTTTTGGGCCGCCTGGAGTGCCCTGAAGAGCAGAGGGCAAGGGATGCAAAAAGCATGCAGCACCTGAGATGTGTCAGTGGTTCTGGCCTCCCGGAGCGGACCCAGGGTCCTCCAAGCCCAGGAGGGAGGCACCGAAGAGGGCTCCACAGGACTTGCCCTGAGACAATCGGGAGCTACGCTGGAAGTGCTTGGCCCCGAGAGGGAGCATTCAGGGCATCGGGAAAGGGCGGCGAACTCCAAGAGCGCCCAAGAGCGCCTGCGCTGGCCTAGAAATACGGCGCCTGGGGCCCAAAGGGCACCCACTTTCCCAACACAGAGAGCTCGAAAGGGCTTGCGGACACTTCTCTCGTTGCCTCAGCTTGGCGCCGGGGGGGGTTGTCCAATCGCATCGTTCTCGTTCGCTTCTGCTTTCTCCTCCTCATTTGATTCATTGCAGCGGCCGTTTAGGCCATGCGGTAGGAGCTAGTACAACCGCGGCCGGATACGCTGGGAGGGCAAAACGCTGTTTGTGCGAGAACGAAGAAAAGAGTGTGGCACAACCGTGCTTGACCGATACTGCTATACTGCGCAGTTTGCCGAATATCGTGCAGGATATAAAAAAGAACAAAAAAAACGCTGCGAGGGCAAAATCGTATCAGTCGTCATCTGGTTTCATCCTGCCTCTCTCCTCCCCGTCCGCGTCCGCCTCCTGTGTTCTCCTCTTCCCCTTCTCTTACGGCCAGTGTTGGTTTACTTCTGGTTTGGGCCAGGGCTTAAGCAGAAGATGCGCGTGACAGCCGTTTTTTGGCAACCACGATGTCCACATTCCCTTCTCCTCGTCTCCTCCTCTTCATCCTCGTCCGCTTCGTGCGCTTCTCAGCGGGTTGTTCTGGCTAGCTTGGCGCACCGATTCAGTGACACACGGTTGGAGTGAGGTCTAGTGGGACGGGGCTACTGACTTGAGTGATTCGTTCAGGAGCGTCTCGGTGCCACGTGTTTGGAACACCTCGAGAGGTCAGCAATTGAAGTGGTGATGCCGGAGGAACAGGCAGAATTTCTCTTGGTGCCTCGCGGCACGGTGGTAAGGAGTTGGCGATGTTTAACAGCAAGTTGCGTATAGTTGTGATGTGGCGCTGAATCATGCGGCGAATCATTTTCAGTACAAGCGCGCATTGATTTCACTTAGTGGTTCGCGTCCGCTGCTTGTCCAACCAGCAAGCAGTCGTCGTTATTGTCTTTGTTCGATGGGGGTTCCACTCATCTCTTGGTCAGGCGGGAGAAACCATTATGACAGCTTTGAGCCATTGGCAATGTATTGTTTTCGGGGCGCTAGCTCGTCGCGCCAGGGGGCCAGGGGGAAGAAAAGATTAAGCAAGGATTGGAGCGTGAAGGGATGGAGGAGGAATGCTCAAAGGGGAGCAGGGGTGGTGGGAGGAGAGCGAGGAGCATCAGGAGGACGGAAGGCACGGACAATGAGAGGTAAGAAGAGGAGCAGCAGCAAGACGCCATGACCCCCACCCGCAGCTTCAGAAGCAGAGGAAACATGGGGGAGACGATTGAAACAGCTTTGCCTAGAATTCAGACAGCCTCCTCTTGCCCATCCCTTCTCAGCATCGTCCTCATCATCATCATCATCTCTCCGCCCTTCTCCTCCGCCAGGAGCAGCTCAGCCTGGAACCCGAGGGTACCTCGACGAGCGCTGGAAGCGCGCCTCCGTCGCCACAGAAGCCGAGGCTCGGTTTCGGTGGATTTGGCAGGTGAAGAGGTGGAGGATGGATGAAGATGTGGTGGGAGAGGAAGTTCCTTCTCGGGATGAGGAGGGAGCAGGTGGAGGAGGAGGGGGAGGAGGAGGAGGAGAATGGCAGCGACGGCGAGGGGAGGAGGAGGTGGAGGAGGAGGAGGATAGTTTCGGCTGTCGTTTAGGACACGGGTAAAGTGTTACCATTATCGCGCCCTAACAAGAACAGTTCACATGCAATCAACTGAGATGCAGGATCTCCATGGCAAACACCAAACACCCCTCCCTAACAACCTACTGCCAAAGATCACACCCGTAGCTTCTCCTCTTCCCAGAGGTGGCATGCAATGTGTGTGTCTGCGGGCGTACATGTCCAACGCAACATCAGAAAGGCGGTGTACAGCTGGCTACGTTCAGGCATCGTTGAGGCGGAGAGTGCAACATCTGAATTTCGAACTCCCTTGCAAGCACGTGTTGCCTGCAACGCTATGAACAAGTTTGGTGTGTGAGAGAGAGAGAGAGAGTTGGTTCAGCCCACGCGTCACATGGTAGACGCATCCTGTGCTACAATATTCAGAGGTCCTGCTTGCATGATGGTGTTCGTCAAATGACATTGTTACTTCGAGAGAGATGCTGTTGCCCCCTGTCGAAAGAGCAGGGGGAGGAGGGAGCAGGGGGAGGGGAAAAGAGGAGGTAAGATATGCAGGAGGAGGAGGGAAGAGAGCGACTGGAGGAAGGAGGAGGAATGAGGAAGCAGGAGGAAGAGGATGGAGAGGAGGAGGACATAGAGGAGGGTGACGGAGAGTGGCGGGGAGGAGGACGGTAAGGGAAGACGGAGGAGGAGGAGTCCATCTTTCGTCCTTCATCTTTCCCGCCTCCTCCCCCCCTCCACCCTCTCCCTGTCTCGTCTTCCTCCCCTCCTACAAAAGTAATTCCTCCCTGCCGCACCCCTCAGACACGTCGGTAGGGCAGGCCTGGCGTTTCGCCAGACGGTTGTTCATTGCTTATGGCCTGAAGTTTTGAATTCGCAACCCGTGCAAGGATGGATAGAGGGGTCGTTTTCTGAATGGGGTTCTCGCAGGGGCGCCGCCCACATTCGCTTGGAATGTTTGCAGCAGGTTCAAGGATGGAGTGGTGAGGCGTGACATGGTGGTCTCGCTTGTAGCGCCGCGCGCATCGGTCTAAGATAATAACGTCTTCAGCAGCTTGGAGGATGGATGGGGATGTTTCCAACATAGGGGTTTTCGCCTCAGAGCCGCGCGCATTCGTTTTAAATCTTCACAGTAGCTTCAAGGATGGAGGGGGCCAACATGGTACTCTCGTCTTAGCGCCGCGCCCATTCGCCGCAAGAGTCTGCAACAGCTTGAAGAATGGAGGAGGTGGTTTTCGAAATAGGGTAATCGCCGTAGCGCCGCGCAAGTTCGTTTACAACAAGTACGGGGATATATTACAGGTTCTTTCTCAACATGGGGCCGTCGCTTGAGTCTTCTCAAAACTGCAAAAATAAGAAGCTTGAACAGATGTAACATATGTATAGGTGGAGTGCTGTACCGTGTCAAGGTGGGGCTATCGCTTAACATGTTCCCTGAAGCTCATGGCCAGAAGTGTCTAGCTGCGCAAGAGCTACACAGGTGGGCAGCTCTGCTTCAAAACGGGGGTCTCGACACTGGAGTATTCACCAGAAGGGTGTAAGGACATTCCGTTTCAAATCGGGACTCTCGCCCAATCGGCAGGCCATTGTGGTGTTGGTTTTCGGAAGGGGGGTACTTCTTGCAGTATCAGGGAAGGCTTGTAGGAACATTGGAGCGGACTTGGGACGGAGCAGTGTATTGCAGCATCGCTCTTCCATCCTGGGTTTACCTTGGCCTATCCCTCCTCCTCCCTCCCCTCCCCTCGCTGGTCGCCAGCCTGGCGTTCCCACCAGCTCGGGGGACGGCCCCGTGCGCCAGTGCGGCGAAATCGGGCACACGTGCTCACGCTGGGGCGGGCCACCCCTGCGAGGCCAGCACTCGTGCGGCCCCCATGCCGGCAGATTGCTGCGCCTCCCCCCGATCGCCAGGGGCGGCGCCAGGAGGTGCGCCGGCAGGCCGCTCGCGAGCGGCGCCGGCGGCGCGAGGGACCCACACGCAGAGGCGGAGGAGCCTTCGCCGCCGCCGCCGCCGCCGACGCCATCGCTGCCGCTGCCGCCGCCGCCGTGCAGGAGGCCGCCTGGCCCAGAGGGGGGCGAGTGGAGGCAGCGGCAGGTGGGCCTTCGGGGCGCTGCCCGTCGCCACGGCCGGGCGCGGCTCGGAGGACTGAGATCTTGAGCTGCCGTTGTCTCCACGCGCCCTGCTCCGACGCGTTGCTCGAGGAGGGTGGGCCCGCTCGAGCGCACAAAGGCCCCGCGCGGTGGCGTGGGAGCGGCACGCTCCCGCGCATGCGGGGCCGCAGGGCCCGGAGGTCCGATGTCCGGAGTTGTTTCGCACGGGGTATCCGGAGGGTCCGATGCTCTGCTCGGGGCTGGCGTTCCATAGACGAGTCGTTTGTTGACGAACCTGGGGTCTGGCGAGGGCCCCCCCAGAGTCCGAAATCTATGTTGTGAGGTCCTGATGGCCAGTGCCGCCGACCCTGGATACTGCGAGGAGATGGAGAAGGAAGAGGTGGAGGAGGAGGAGGAGGAGGAGGAGGAGGGGGATGAGAAGAAGCAGGAGCATGAGGGCAAGGGGGGCCGGGGTTGGGAGGGTGGGGGGAGCGGTGGAAGGGAGATAGAGGAACTTGGAGAGGAGGAGGTGGCCGTCGTGGGCCGCTGTGGGACCCTGTTGGAGCTTTTCTGGGCCGGTCGCGGGGGCCGACCCTGTCTTGGACGCTGCTGAGATGGAAAAACGCGGCCATGCCAAACATACACAGTTGTCCAAGAAGAATAAGAAAAACTAGAAGGACGAGAGGGAGAAGGAGGAGGAAGAGGAGGAGGAGGAGGAGGGGGACGAGGAGACAGACGAGGAGGATGAGGTGGAGGGGGCGTAGGGAAGAGGGAGGGAATGGCGAGGGTAGGGAGATGAGGAGAATCGCCCATCCCCGTTTGTCTCATCCTCCTTTGGGTCGTGCGGTCCTGGGGCCCAGCGTGGGCCCCTACAGAGTCCGACATCCATCTTTCTCAACATTGCCAAGACGTTGAAACAAGGAGCAGTTCGGGTTCGGAAGGGGCTCGCTTCGTCTTAGGTCCTTCCATGGCTGCTCCCCAGAGCTCCGCATGCACCCATGCAGTTCTTGGAGCCAAGGATGATCTCCGATCCTTATCCAGCTGCCTCGGGAGGAACGCGATGCATGCAGCCAAGCGTGATGAGGAGAGGGGGGGCCCGTAGCAGAATATGGAAGACCTATCAGACAGCCCCTGGCGTTCCACCACGCCTCAACGTGCCAGGGGGGGGGGGGGGGCACAGTGGCAGATTGGCGTTCCTCATGGTAGCAGCTTGCCTCCACGTTGGATCTCTGGGTGGCAGGGGGCAGGGAGGGCCCTTCAAAGGATAACTTGTGTCATCCAGCTGCCTGCGGCAGGTCCAGCCGCCGTGCCAGCCCATCATTCTCGGTGGCGACTGTTCGAGAGGGCACGGGAGGCCGCCACGCGTAACACATCGTGCCCCCAGGCTTGGGGATGCCAGTATGATGATGATGATAATGATAATGATGATGATGCTGATGATGATGCTTATGATTATGATGAGTATGTTGATGTTGATGGTGATGGTGGTGATGGTGGTGATGGTGGTGATGGTGATGGTTATGGTGATGACGATGATGATGATGATCTTGGAGGTGGTGGTGGTGATGGTGATGGTGATGATGATGGTGGCAATGATGATGATGATGATGATGATGATGGTGATGGTGATGGTGATGGTGATGATGATGATGATGATGATGATAATGATGATGGTTGTGGTGGTGATGCTGACGCTGATGGTGATGGTGATGATGATGATGATGATGGCGATGGTGATGGTGATGCTAATGGTCTGGGTGATGATGGTGATGATGCTGGCGATGATGCGGTTGCTGTTGGCGGTGATGATGACGATCGTGATTGTGATGATGATGATGGTGTTGTTGATGATGATGATGATGATGATGATGATGATGATAGTTGTCGTGGTGGTGCTGATGCTGATGGTGATGGTGGTGATGATGATGGCGATGGTGATGGTGATGCTAATGGTCTGGGTGATAATGATGTTGATGATGCTGCTGGCGATGATGCTGTTGCTGTTGGCGATGATGATGATGATGACGACAATGATGATGATGATGATGATGATGATGATGGTGATGATGATGATGATGATGATGATACTGATTATGATGATGACGATGATGATGATGTCAAGGGTGACGATGATGGTGATGATCCAAATGGTGATGGTGATTGTGGTGCTGATGGTTATGATGGTCATGGTCATGGTCAAGGTCATGGTCATGATGACGACGACGGCGATGATGCTGATGATGATGACGACGACGATGACGATGTCGTTGACGATGACGATGATGATGCTTACCATGATGATGATGATGATGATGATGATGATGATGATGATGCTGATGATGATGATGATGATGATGATGATGATGATGATGATGATGATGGTGATGCTGCTGATGATGATGGTGGTGGAAGTGGTGAGAGGATGAGGTGGAGGAAGAGTAGGAGGAGGAGAATGAAGATGAGGATGAGGATGGCGATTCTGAGGATGATGTGAAGGAGGAGGAGGAGGAGGAAGAGGAGAAAGAGAAAAGCCGTCGCATGTGACACCTTTCGTCTTCACACTTTGAGCAGTCCTTATGGAACTCGTTTTGGGCCGTCTTGTGGGTGTCTTGGCCTCATGTGAGGCAGATTTATGGGGCCCTGAGGTCGCTCTCGGGCCGTTTTGGGGCCCTCTTGGACCCTTCTTGGGGCTGTTTTGGAGCCATCTTGGGCAGTCTTCGGCCCCTCCTAGGTCGCGCTGGGGCCCTCTTGGGCCCACCTTCGGGCCATCTTCGGGTCCTCTTGGGCAGTCTTGGGCGCCTCCAGGGCCGTCTTGGAGCCCTTCCCCAGCCGTCTTGGGGCTCTCTGGGGGTTCTCTTGGGCTGTCTTGGGACGTCGGAAGCTCGAAAAGGGAAGAACCCCCAAAAATATTGGAATACTGTAGGAACATCACTGATTTGTTCCTCTCGAGGCCCTCTTGGGAAGGCTTTGGGGGCTCTCTTTGGGACATCTCCAAGGCGTCTTGGGCAATAGAGCCATCTTGGGCTGGAGCGCGAATCCGCCGTAATTTACGAAAGATCGTGGCCGCAGAAATCCGAATATATCGCACTGTGCTTCGGACTCTGACCTCAGGAGCGGCGCCGGTGTATTCCCCTGGGCGCGGGTAGATGGGGGTGGGGCCCTAGAAGATGACATAAAACCCTACCAGACAACACTTGGCACCCCAACGTGCCAGGGGGTACAGTGGCGGACGACGGGAAGCGCCTACGGCGTGGACAGTTTATACATCGCAGGTTCAGTATTCTCTCATTAAGAGTTGCCGATTGCACCAAGCAGCACCGTGGCGGATGACGGGAAGCGTCGAGGAACTAGAAGCGAGTTGGACGTTGTTGCTAAATTTGTAAGATGTTCAACAAGTATTAACATACAAACCCTTGGGGGTTACAAGGGGCTAAGTCGTGGCGGATTTCTTGTTTCAAACGTTTCGCTTGAGACATCCTCACAAAACAAGTTATTCGTAACACAGTTGTTGTGAAAGCCCCGCGTTTCGCTCCAGACATCCTCCAGAGCTGGGTTGAACTATACAACCTTTGACGCGAGCAGGCTGAAATCCGGGTTGCGTACGGGCAGGGCCCGACATCTAAAAGTTCTCTTTGGCTCTTGGATTGCCCTCGGGGTGCAGGAGTGGATGGATGGGGCCCCTGCTCTTCCCCCGCACGCACGCACGCGCACCACCACCCACTACGCACGCGCGCGCGGAGCCACAGGTCCGCTACGACACGCGTCCGCGGATAGAGAAAATCAGCGCCATGGTAAGGGATGGGAGGGGTAGGACGTCAGATATGACGCGAGCGCACCTCCCCGAAAGGCCGGCAGCTTGGTCCCCCAGGGGTCTCGGGGGGGGCTCCCGTGCAGACCGCCCTCGGCGCGCCTAGCGAGGCGCGCGGGGCGCCAGCGCCGGCTCGGGGAGCCGCTGAGACGGGCCTCGGCGGCAGGGGGAGGAGGAGGAGGAGGAGGAGGCGGAGGAGGAGGAGGAGGAGGAGGAGGAGGAGGAGGAGGAGGAGGCGGAGGAGGAGGAGGAGGAGGAGGAGGAGAGGAGGAGGAGGAGGACAACCAGGGAGGAGAGATGGACAAGGACGTGGAGGGGGAGGCGGCGGCGGAAGGAGGGGGATTCAAAGAAGGAAGCGGGGGGGGGGGGCGAGGCGGAAAGGGCAGGGGGGAGGGGCGGGGCGCCCGGTCTGGCCGCAGGATCTGATGCGCGAGAGGGATTTCGAGAGGGCAGAGAACGTGTACCGCCAGGCCATCGGAGAGCGCGAGGACGCGCGGTGGGGCCGAACGCCAAGCACCGATGTGGGGCTGAGGAGGAGGAGGAGGAAGGAGGAGGAGGAGGAGGAGGAGGAGGAGGAGGAGGAGGCGGATGGAGGAGGTTGAGGGGGAGGGGAGGAGGAGGAGGAGGAGGAGGAGGAGGAGGAGGAGGACGAGGACGAGGAGGAGGAGGAGGAGGAGGGAGGACGAGGAGGAGGAGAGGAGGAGGAGGAGGAGGAGGAGGACGTGGAGGTTGAGGGGGAGGAGGAGGAGGAGGAGGAGGAGGAGGAGGAGGAGGAGGAGGAGGAGGAGAGGAGGAGGGAGGAGGAGGAGGAGGAGGAGGAGGAGGAGGAGGAGGAGGAGGAGGAGGAGGGAGGAGGAGGAGGGGAGGAGGAGCACGAGGAGGACGGAGGAGGAGGAGCAGGAGGAGGAGGAGGAATAAGAGGAGGGGCGAGGTGGAGGAGGAGGTGAATGGGCGGAGCTTGGAGAGGAGGAGGGGGGGAAGGGGAGGAGGGTGAGGAGGAGGAGGAGGAGGAGGAGGAGGCTCGAGGAGGAAGGGGGTGGGAGGAGGAGGGCATCCCGCTTCTGCCCTGGTCCCTTTCAAGATGCGTTGATATGAGTATCGGGAGCCCTCCAGGATTTTCAAATGGTGCCTGAGCAAACGGGGTCGGAGGATGGCGCCGCAAAGTCGATGCATCGGCGATACGGTGGCGGCATCTGGAGCCCGGTTTCTCCATCTGCGCGTCGCGGGTGCATCGACGATGCGTTACCATCTTCCGACCCAGTCTGTGTTGGTCCCATTCATTTGGGAGGCCTCCATGCCCGAGAACGGCAAGAAATCAATGACCCATTTCCCCTATGACTCGTGTCCTCCATTCTGGCAAGAACTGGCGTGGAGGAGGAGGAAGAGCAAGCGTGAGAGACCGAGGACGATGCCCAAACAAACCTCATCACTGTAACCCCTTGACGGCTCTTCTGGCCAGCTCAGGTTTATTTTACATTTTGGGTTACAAACCTTTTGATTTCTGGCTAAATATCCAGCACGAATGGGTAAGGCTGTGCCCATGCAGGGCCAACCCATCTCCAACCGATGCTGATCGGCGAACATCCCGCACACTGCGCATAACCAAACATTCGCACCTTGATGATACCGAAGACAGTGAGACCCATGTACCCGCCCCCCAGCGATGTGCAGCTCCCTCCATGGCGGAAGAACCTCACGGAGCCATGTAACGCCATGAGCTTCAGCATGGGGACGCCCTCCTCCTGAGCTCGACCACAGACGAGGACCCCCTACACTTGCGACACCTGCACCCCGAGTCGTCCAACGCGTGAGGCCTCTTCATCACAGACAACCTCGGGGCACGGCGGAGGAAGCGAAGCTGGAATGAAAGCAGAGGACGGAGGAGGAGAAGGGACAGGGCTCACTCCACTCACCGACTCCCTCCTCCCTGGCAGTCGCACACGGCCCTGAATCGCGGCCTCGGCTTCGGAGTCCAACGTCCCCGGCCGCGCGGAGGAGCCGCATCCTGACCAGGAAGGCTCTGTTCTCGACTGGCCCTCACGGGGCCTCTCGTGCTGTGACAGTCTTGCTTGGGCAGCCGCTTCGCCGGCTGCCTCGTCAGCAATGGCAGTGCCTTGCACCAACCACTTCGATACACCAGCAGCACTTGCTGTCCCCATCGCCGCGTGAGAGCTGACAGACAAACCGACAAAGTGATCAGCACACCGATGTTGGAATATCTCGCCGATCTTTGTCCACGCATCTGCGCACTTGGGGCCGTTGGTACAATCTGCCGTACCAACCGTCATACACCATCCGATTGTCCGTGACGGTTACTGCATGGCCCGTGGTGGGCCGTGCCGCCATGAGCAGCTCCGTTATCTCATCCCTCGGTATTGAGTGTTGGTCGCCAGGCAAAGGCCCGCCCATCGTTCTCAAGGCCTTAAGGCAGGACTTGGATTGGACGTGCACGAGCCCGCACCCACGAGGAGGAGGAGGAGGAAGAGGAGGAGGAGGAAGAGGAGGAGGAGGAGGAGGAAGAGGAGGAGGAGGAGGAGGAGGAGAAGGAGGAGGGGAGAGGAGGAGGAGGGGAGAGGCCAGCGTAAGCCTAAGACTCATTAGCGATGATGCAATACACCCTCCCTCGAAGCTCCCTCTTCACAGGCCCCTAGAAGGGTTAATTTCCACCGAGGGGAGTGTCGCATCTGGAGACAACCTCTTTGACAATCCTGAGCGGTGCCAGGGCACCATACTTGGGGGGCGTGGGGTTTCAACGCAGCGTATCACTCTAACTGTTGCGTCTTGGCGATCCTGAGCCGTGCCAGAACATCGCTCCTGGGACTTCGACACCGCGAACCCACGTAATTGTTGCACCCTGACAATCCTACATCATTGCAGACCACGGTTTCTGGTACGTTAAGAATGAAGGCCCTTGAAGATCTTGGAATTGTGTAAAACACATGTGCGCGGCGCCAAGGCGAGAGCCACATTTTGAAAAGGGGCCGCCCTCCATCCGTGAATTCCGTGCAAGTTGTTACGGCGAGTGTGCGCCGCGCTAGCAAGTGTGCGCGGCGCTAATGCGAGAGCCACATGTTGAAAACGACGTGCCATCAATCCGTGAAGCTCGTGCAAATTGTTAAATCCGAGTGTGTGCGGCGCTAAGTCGAGAATCACATGTTGGAAGCGAGCCGACCCGCCCTCCATCTGTAAAACTGTTGCCAATGTTGAATCTTCAGGGTCATACATTGGTAGCGAAGTCTCAGGCGAAACGCCCGACCCGCCCTTCCGACCGGCCTTTGGGTGCGACAGGGAGGAGTTATCTGGAACGAATAGGAATGGAGGAGGTGGGAGGAGGAAGAAGAAGAAGAAGAGGAAGACGAAAAAGAAAACGAGGAAGAGGAGTTGGACAGTGGAGAAGGAGGAGAAGAAGAAGACGGATGAGGAGGACGAGGGAGGAAGACGAGGAGGAGGATCAGGAGGAGGCGACGGATGAGCAGGAGGAGCAGAGGGGAGGAGGAGGGAGGAAGAGGAGTAGCAGCGAGGAGGAAGAAGAGGAGGAGGAGGAGCAGGTAGGAGAAGAAGGAGGGAGAGGGAGGAAGGGCCTGCGATCGCATCCTCATCCCCTTCTCCTCCTCCTCCTCCTCCCAGGGCAAGGAGCAATTCCAAGTTCATGGGAAAGGATCCAGCTGCCTGCGGCAAGTCCCGCCACTGTGCCAGCCCAGCATTCCTGGTTGCGACTGTTCGAGGGCAGCAGGGTTGTGATGAGGATGAGGGTGGTGATCAAGATGATGATAAAGATAGTGGTGATGTTGATGTTGATGTTGTCGCTGATGATTATGAAGAGGATGAGGAGGCGGAAAAGGAGGAGGAGCCTGATGATGGTGATGGTGATGATGATGGTATTGGTCGTGATGATGAAGAGGAAAAAGAGGAGGAGGAGGAGGAGGAGGAGGAGGAGGAGGAGAAAGGCCGTCACTTGTGGCACCTTTCGAGTCTTCCCTATTTGAGGAGTTCTTGTGGAACTCGTTTGGGCCGTCTTTGGATCGTCTTGGCCTCCTGTGAGGCAGTCTTGGGGGTCCCTTGGGGGCCCTCTTGGGTCGCCTTGGAGCTCTCTTACGCCGGCTTGGAGCTCTCTTGGGCCATCATGGGGCACTCTTGGCCGTTGTGGTGGATGTCTGCGGACCGTCTTGGGCCGTCGACAGGCCGTCTACAGCCGTCTTGGGTCCCACGGGAGGCCTTCTTGGGTTGTCTTGGGGCCGTCCTTGGATGTCTCCTGGGCCATCTTGAGACCCTCTTGGGGGCCTCTTGCGCCGTCTTGGGGCCATGATGGAGGCGTCTTGGGCCGTCTTGAGTTCACGGAAGCCCCAGGCGGCGAGATTGCGAAAGCCATTCGAAAACCACAGGAAATCAATGGTGTTGGTTTTTGTTCGGACCCTGTTGGAGGTCCTCGTGTGGCCATTTGGGGTTTTCTTCGATGCATATTGGGCCGCCTGGAGGCCATATTGGGTCGCCTTGGGGCCGTCTTGGGCCGTCTTCGAAGCATCTTGGGCCATCGTGGTGTCCTTGGTTGCCTGCATGGGCCGTCTTGAAATTTCCGTACGCGGATCCGTTGGTTTCCAATCGGGATCGTGGCCTCGGGAGCACGGATCCCATGTTTTGCACGAGGCATCGTGGCCTCGGAGGGGGGGGGGGGCGATGCATGCAGTGAAAGTAGACGCCGGTAGGGGAGGGCCCTCAGTAAATTTCAGAAACCCAACCAGACAGCCCTTGGCATTCTTCCACGCCTCAACGTATAGGCATGGTAGCGGATATTCCAGATGTCGCCGCGCCGTTTGTTCCGACGCGTGGCCCTACGCCTTGGGGAGGGTGCCTCGGCCATCAGGGCAAACTCCGCCTCGGACGCAAGGTTCGCCGTGGGCTTGCAGCGGTGACGGCGTAGTCTACTTGGGCGCAGGGCGCAGGGCTTGCCGTCGGTATGCCGTGGTGTCGGCGTTGTCCACTTCAGCGCGTCGAGGACAAATAGCGCGGCGACAGATCTTCGTCATCCAAATGTGAGGCTCAGCGCCCTTGGCACCCCCGCCGTGCCCCTAGTGGGGCCGTCCTGCGGGACGTTTCCGGCGCTCGTCTCGTCTTGTTGTCTTGCCGGAGAGATGGGAGGAGGCGGAGTCAGAAGGGTGGGGATGCCGACCCCTGTGCGATTTGTTGCGTGGGGTTGCTGCGCGCAGTTTCTTGCAACGAACAGGGTTCGTTGTGGTTGTGCTCTTTGCGGACGCGAGATGGTCGGTTGAGCCCCTCTCCCGCCTGGCATGGGCAAGAGTGGCTACAGTCGGGGCCCTGAAGAAGGAACCCTTTTCGTTGGGGAGGGGCTCGGTGTTCCTTGATTGTTGTGCAATTTGCCTTAGGTTCCCCTAAGGCTTTCCATAAGAAATCGAAGTTTAACTTTTGGAAGAAGGGACCTCGTTCCTTATTTAGGGTTCCTTAGGGCAACGCCCCGACTTACGATGACAAC